CTTTAAATTGATATCAATTATATTGTCGTATGTTCTCGGATGTGGGAGTTACACTTATATATACAGGTGCTTACGTATTCAGATATTATTTAGTAACCCATTACCACACTAGAGGGCGGAAATATAGCGCTGATCGCTTTTAAATTTTGCATGAGGTTCCAGTTATGGTCAAGGACAACGTCTATAATTTTCGGTGATGATCAGATTTTAATATTGGGATGAAGTGGGCCGGAAACTTAATTTTTTGTGTTTTTTTCGAGTCGATGCCAATAATAGGCCGAACATGACAACAGAAACCACGGTGAAGGGAATATGGACAAGTAATTAGCAGGGCTGTATTGAATATTGGTAATATTAGGAAAATATGTCAGTGTAAGGAAGAGGTCAAGAAATATTACCCAGGCTCGGAATAAAAATCCGCAGAAAGATAGAGTTCTGTGGTAGTTTTGTAGGGTATCGTATGGTCGACCGCGTCCGATTCACTGGTTTAAATAAATGTTTAAGGGTCAACACTAGGCGATTTTATGTTTTTTTTTAATTTCTATCACTTAGATACTTTGTTTAGGGTATTGTAATACTGGAATGTTTAAAGGTTTTTGCTCATCCTGATGAAAATATGTGAAGCATCCACCAAGTGGCCAAAGTGTGGATTATTACGGCGACATCTTACAACAGAATTAAACAGTTGTTATGGGGTTGAAAGATAGGGTGATTTTTTCAGCTACAGTGATACCATCTATTGAAAGAATTTGTTTTTCGCAAATATTCACTTCGATGTTGTACAGTTTTTATAAATTTTAGTTCGTAAACAGTACGTGTGCATAATATTTAGTACTGTACAGTTTAAAGGTCAGTGTTATAAAATCGAACAATCAACTTCGAATTACGAATTCGAATAGAAAACTGGGAATTTTTATTGGGACAGTAAATAAATGGTAATGTGACAATGCCAGAATGATGTTGCTATAACTTATAGCTATTGGATCAATATCCTATCCAATAGCTATACAGTTATATACAGTATTTTTCGGTTAATTGCACATCAAAATTTGCACAAATTTTTGTTCAATTAACCGAGGAACCAATTATCCGAACCCGCTTACTATGAAATGAAATATTTTTGACCCATCATGAGGTTCAATTAAGCGTGGAAACCAATTAACCATAGGTTCAATTAACCGAAAAATACTGTAATAGCTAACTATAATTGTGATACGACTTCGAAAAATTGACCTACACTCTATCGTCATCAGAATTATTTTGAAAATTCTGTATTTTTTTCATAATATAATTGGAGAAAAAATTATTTTAATTGCTTCAAAAAATGTCTATTAGAAGGTCTGCAAATTCGTAAATGTGGATTTTATAATATTTAATTTCTAGAAGACCATTTATAGGACGCTATGGTAAGGTCCATCATAGTACAAAAGGAAAATATAAATCAAATAACATATACAAAATTTACTTTCGTTCCCAAACCGTTTAGGTTGTGAGACAAAATAATGACAAAGGTCCATCTGGTGAGGAATAACAGAACTCCCACTGAGACATCTGTTGTGAAAAAGAGATCGTGACAATACGGTTCACGTCTAAGAAGAATAGATTTGATACACAGTGCTGTCATCTGGAGGTTGAACTAAAAAGAATAGTCTAGTGAAATATTGGTATGTAATGGTTTGTGTCTTGCACAATAATACGGTAGGGATACTGAATTCACAATATGCTACTATTGTGAATAGGCAAACAATTTAAAAAATATTTTTGAGGGTCTACATTAGAGTGTAGTTTTTGGAAATATTTCTCAGAGCCGCTATTAAGACGTGGATTTTTTTTTAAAAATATATTTTTGAGGATCTATAATAAGGCTTGGATTTTTAAAAAAGTTTTGGAGGGTCTACATTAATGCGTGGATTTTTATATCCTACACAACTATGTTGTCAGGGTATTATAGCTTTGTGAAGCCCTAAGAATTTGTAACGCCGCGAAATATTGGTCGTAGACACACCCTTAAGTATACCGATCATCATATCTCGACTAGCTGAGTCGATCTAGACATGTGTGTTTATCCGTCATTCTGTCCATTATAATTTGTAAACACGATACAGGCCTCAGTTATGGACCAATCTTCACGAAATTTTATATGTAGGATGGGTTCTGGCCAATGCAGACGCCTATTGTTTTTGGTAAATATCGGTTATTATTTAGGGGATGAAATCCACCGAATACTAACTTTTTGTCGGTTCCTCTGATCGCTCCAGAAGAAGGAGATCGGACCAAAGAATAAGCATGCCTACTTTGATAAATATCGGTCAATATTTAGCGGGTCAAATGAACCCTGACTTTTGTGTGAAAAATGACAAAATTTGTATTACTTCTGAACGACATAGACCCGATAAGGTGATAGTATATCGAAGAGGAGTGGTTGACCTTTAAATTGCTACCAATTATATTGTCGTATGTACACGGATGTAGGCCACAATTGAAAGCCGAACATCACAACACAACCACTGTGAAGGGAACAGGTAATTAAAAGGGCTGTACTGAATACCAGTAATATTTGTTGACCTCCAGTCGGTCAATAGGGTGCAAATATAGCGAAATATTGCCAAAGCTCAGAATATAGAACCACACAAAGTTCGTGGAAGTTGTGTAGGGTATAATAAGGTCGGCCCTGTCCGATTATACTGCTCCGCTCACTGGTTTTAAATTAGTGTCTACATTAAGGCGTGTATTTTTTAAAAAATATTTTTCGATTTTTATACCCTTCACCACATTATGATACAGGGTATTATGTCTTTGTGCATATGTTTGTAACAGGCAAAAATAATCGAGATAGACCCATGGTTCCTTTTGAGAATATGCATAGAATCACTTTCTGAGTCGATTTATGCATGTCCGTCTGTCCGTCCGTCCATGTATTTTTTTTTAACAAAGTACAAGTCGCATTTATGATCCGATTTGGATGAAATTTGGCACACATCACTTAATTGGTCCAAGGACGAACCCTATTGAAATTGGGAAAAATCGGTTCAGATTTAGATGTAGCTCCCATATATATTTTCGTCCGATTTAAGGTAAATGGTGTACCAAAGCCCCTATATATCTTTCAATTTACACTAAACTTGCCACAGCATAATGAATAGGGTCTAGAATGATGTGTCTTAAGTTTCCTTAAAATCGGTTCAGATTTAGATATAGCTCCCATATATATCTTCGTCCGATTTAAGGTAAATGATGTACGAAATTTGGCATAGCGTAATGAATTAGGTCTAGAATGATGTGTGTCAAGTTTCCTGAAAATCGGTTCAGATTTAGATATAGCTCCCATATATATTTTCGTCCGATTTAATGTAAATGGTGTACCAAAGTACCTATATATCTTTTGATTTGCCCGAAATTTGACATTGCGAAATGGATTAGGTCTAGAATGATGTGTGTTAAGTTTCCTGAAAATCGGTTCAGATTTAGATATAGCTCCCATATATATTTTCGTCCGATTTAAGGTAAATGGTGTACAAAAGTCACTATATATCTTTCGATGTGCACGAAATTTGGCATAGCGTAATGAATTAGGTCTAGAATGAGGTGTGTTAAGTTTCCTGAAAATCGGTACAGATTTAGATATAGGCCCATATATATCTTCGTCCGATTTAAGGTAAATGGTGTACCAAAGTCCCTATATATCTTTCGATTTGTACGAAATATGGCATAGCGTATTTAATTAAGTCTAGAATAGTGCACGTTAAGTTTCGTGAAAATCGGTTTGGATTTACATATAGCTCCTATATAAATTTTCGTCCGATTTAATGTAAATGGTATACCAAAGTCCCTATACATATATTTCGGTTTGCACAAAATTTGGCATAGTGTACTGAAATGAGTCCGGAGTGATGTGTGTAAAGTTTTATGAAAATCGGTTCAGATTTATATATAGCTTCTATATAAATTTTCGTCCGATTTAATGTAAATGGTGTACCAAAGTCTCTATATATATTTCGATTTGCACGAAATTTGGCATAACGTACTCAGTTGAGCTTAGAGTGATGTCTGCAAAGTTTCGTGAAAATCGGGACAGATTTAGATATAGCCCCATATATATCTTCGTCCGATTTAAGGTAAATGGTGTACCAAAGTCCCGATATATGTTTTGATTTGCCCGAAATTTGGCATAGCGAAATGAATTAGGTCTAAAATGATGTGTGTTAAGTTTCCTGAAAATCGGTTCAGATTTAGATATAGCTCCTACATATATTTTCGTCCGATTTTACACAAAATTTAGGTAATTTTGTCCCATTGAAGCAACAAATGAAAAATTTAGTATAGGTTGCAGAATTCGGCGTCTCTTAGCATTCATCTGTTGAATATACCCAAAGTGGTGAAGGGTATCATATAGTCGGCCCCGCCCGACTTTACTACTTTCCTTACTGGTTTTATTTTTTATATTGGTTCATATGAACATTTCATTTAAATATTTTTCCATTAAATCATGAACAATCTTGCCACACAGAATACAAGTGCAATTGTAAAGAAAAAAATCACAAATCCATGACAACTGAACATTTGTCCTTTTTGCGACAAAAGTGAAGTGAATGACTTTTAGTGGCTCCTCCTCAACAATCAACCATTTCTGACCCTTGCTCTTCTTCTTCTTCCACTTCGGCGGAACATAACACTCAAATCTACTGTTAATGACAAGTTGATGTTAATGAAAATAGAAAAAATAGAAAACTTTAGAAGAAAGAAAACAAAACTTCCTTGTCAAGCAGCTTCGTGCAGCCACAATTGAAGAAGAGGTCAGAATTTTTGTTCATTGTGTCTCCGACAATCATGGACTTCAAGAAGTTTTCAAGAAAAGAAAACAGCAGTGCTTCAGTTTTGTAAATATATTTTTTTGACATTTCTAAATGTTTTTTTTTTTTTCAACAAAAAATCTACAAGAAACTGAATTTCACGCCTTTTTGCAGTTGGAGGTCAGCAGCGAAGCTCCTTGCAGACCACTTTCAAGGTATGATTATAACAGGTTCAGTTTTTATCAATTTCCTTTTGTTCTTTAGGCGGCGTGATAACTCCGACATGTTAACTGTCCTCTTGGGTATATCGAAGAAGAAGAAAAATAAAATTTCCGTTATGCCCACCAAGGAACAGCCCATACAGAGGCCAGCCAGGCCACCAAAGGAAGCTGAAAAGAAATAAAAATTATTTTTTTATTTTATCCTAAGTATCGGTCAAATTCTCCAAACATACCCATTAAGTCCTCCAAGGTATAAACGGCTGTGGTTCGATACACCATAATCGAGTCACCCAGAAAATAGACCTCCAATAAAATTTCCGTTTCACTTTGATTCGATGACACATTGGGTAAATTATCAGCATGGACGTCCAGGGAATAGCTTAGGGATTTACAATTGTAATAGCAAGGACAATTGATACCTTTCTGATTGAAGACCACATATTGTCGGGCACCAACCTGTTCGATATTTACCAGGACGCCTGGATGGGGAGGAGGAAATAAAAAAATAAATTTTGAAGGCATAGAAGGGGGCGTGGATTTTTTAAATCATTTTTTCAGGGGTCTATATAAGGCGTGGATTTTTTAAATCATTTTTTCAGGGGTCTATATAAGGCGTGGATTTTTTAAATCATTTTTTCAGGGGTCTATATAAGGCGTGGATTTTTCAAATAAATTTTTTCAGGGGTCTATATAAGGCGTGGATTTTTTAAATCATTTTTTCAGGGGTCTATATAAGGCGTGGATTTTTCAAATAAATTTTTTCAGGGGTCTATATAAGGCGTGGATTTTTTAAATCATTTTTCAGGGGTCTATAAAGGCGTGGATTTTTTAAATCATTTTTTCAGGGGTCTATATAAGGCGTAGATTTTTCAAATAAATTTTTTCAGGGGTCTATATAAGGCGTGGATTTTTTAAATCATTTTTTCAGGGACCTCTACAAGGCGTGGATTTTTTAAATCATTTTTTCAGGGACCTCTACAAGGCGTGGATTTTTTAAATCATTTTTTCAGGGACCTCTACAAGGCGTGGATTTTTTAAATCATTTTTTCAGGGACCTCTACAAGGCGTGAATTTTTTAAATCATTTTTTCAGGGACCTCTACAAGGCGTGGATTTTTTAAATCATTTTTTCAGGGACCTCTACAAGGCGTGGATTTTTAAAATAATTTTTTTAGGGACCTCTACAAGGCGTGGATTTTTAAAATAATTTTTTTAGGGACCTCTACAAGGCGTGGATTTTTAAAATAATTTTTTTAGGGACCTCTACAAGGCGTGGATTTTTAAAATAATTTTTTTAGGGACCTCTACAAGGCGTGGATTTTTAAAATAATTTTTTTAGGGACCTCTACAAGGCGTGGATTTTTAAAATAATTTTTTTAGGGACCTCTACAAGGCGTGGATTTTTAAAATAATTTTTTTAGGGACCTCTACAAGGCGTGGATTTGTAAAATAATTTTTTTAGGGACCTCTACAAGGCGTGGATTTTTAAAATAATTTTTTTAGGGACCTCTACAAGGCGTGAATTTTTAAAATAATTTGTTTAGGGACCTCTACAAGGCGTGGATTTTTCAAATCATTTTTTCAGGGGTCTATATAAGGCGTGGATTTTTTAAATCATTTTTTCAGGGGTCTATATAAGGCGTGGATTTTTTAAATCATTTTTTCAGGGGTCTATATAAGGCGTGGATTTTTTAAATCATTTTTCAGGGGTCTATATAAGGCGTGGATTTTTTAAATCATTTTTTCAGGGTCCAATATAAGGCGTGGATTTTTTAAATCATTTTTTCAGGGGTCTATATAAGGCGTGGATTTTTTAAATCATTTTTTCAGGGACCTCTACAAGGCGTGGATTTTTTAAATCATTTTTTCAGGGGTCTATATAAGGCGTGGATTTTTTAAATCATTTTTTCAGGGGTCTATATAAGGCGTGGATTTTTTAAATCATTTTTTCAGGGGTCTATATAAGGCGTGGATTTTTTAAATCATTTTTTCAGGGGTCTATATAAGGCGTGGATTTTTTAAATCATTTTTTCAGGGATCTATATAAGGCGTGGATTTTTTAAATCATTTTATTCAGGGGTCTACATAAGGCGTGGATTTTTTAAATTACTTTTTTCAGGGATCTATATAAGGCGTGGATTTTTTAAATCATTTTATTCAGGGGTCTACATAAGGCGTGGATTTTTTAAATCATTTTATTCAGGGGTCTTTATAAGGCGTGGATTTTTTAAATCATTTTTTTAGGAGTCTATATAAGGCGTGGATTTTTTAAATCATTTTTTCAGGGGTCTATATAAGGCGTGGATTTTTTAAATCATTTTTTCAGGGGTCTATATAAGGCGTGGATTTTTTAAATCATTTTTTCAGGGGTCTATATAAGGCGTGGATTTTTTAAATCATTTTTTCAGGGGTCTATATAAGGGGTGGATTTTTTAAGTCATTTTTTCAGGGGTCTATATAAGGCGTGGATTTTTTAAATCATTTTTTCAGGGGTCTATATAAGGCGTGGATTTTTTAAATCATTTTTTCAGGGGTAAGGCGTGGATTTTTTAAATCATTTTTTCAGGGATAAGGCGTGGATTTTTTAAATCATTTTTTCAGGGACCTCTACAAGGCGTGGATTTTTTAAATCATTTTTTCAGGGACCTCTTCTACAAGGCGTGGATTTTTTAAATCATTTTTTCAGGGACCTCTTCTACAAGGCGTGGATTTTTTAAATCATTTTTTCAGGGACCTCTTCTACAAGGCGTGGATTTTTTAAATCATTTTTTCAGGGACCTCTTCTACAAGGCGTGGATTTTTTAAATCATTTTTTCAGGGGTCTATATAAGGCGTGGATTTTTTAAATCATTTTTTCAGGGGTCTATATAAGGCGTGGATTTTTTAAATCATTTTTTCAGGGACCTCTACAAGGCGTGGATTTTTTAAATCATTTTTTCAGGGACCTCTACAAGGCGTGGATTTTTCAAATAATTTTTTCAGGGGTCTATATAAGGCGTGGATTTTTCAAATCATTTTTTCAGGGGTCTATATAAGGCGTGGATTTTTTAAATCATTTTTTCAGGGGTCTATATAAGGCGTGGATTTTTTAAATCATTTTTTCAGGGGTCTATATAAGGCGTGGATTTTTTAAATCATTTTTTCAGGGACCTCTACAAGGCGTGGATTTTTTAAATCATTTTTTCAGGGACCTCTACAAGGCGTGGATTTTTCAAATAATTTTTTTCAGGGACTTCTACAAGGCGTGGATTTTTTAAATCATTTTTTCAGGGACCTCAACAAGGCGTGGAGTTTTTAAATCATTTTTTCAGGGACCTCTACAAGGCGTGGATTTTTTAAATCATTTTTTCAGGGACCTCAACAAGGCGTGGAGTTTTTAAATCATTTTTTCAGGGACCTCTACAAGGCGTGGATTTTTTAAATCATTTTTTCAGGGACCTCTTCTACAAGGCGTGTTTTTTTTAAATCATTTTTTCAGGGACCTCTACAAGGCGTGGATTTTTTAAATCATTTTTTCAGGGACCTCTACAAGGCGTGGATTTTTTAAATCATTTTTTCAGGGACCTCTTCTACAAGGCGTGGATTTTTTAAATCATTTTTTCAGGGACCTCTTCTACAAGGCGTGGATTTTTTAAATCATTTTTTCAGAGACCTCTACAAGGCGTGGATTTTTTAAATCATTTTTTCAGGGGTCTATATAAGGCGTGGATTTTTTAAATCATTTTTTCAGGGACCTCTACAAGGCGTGGATTTTTTAAATCATTTTTCCAGGGGTCTATATAAGGCGTGGATTTTTTTAAATCATTTTTCCAGGGGTCTATATAAGGCGTAGATTTTTTAAATCATTTTTCCAGGGGTCTATATAAGGCGTGGATTTTTTAAATAATTTTTTCAGGGGTCTATATAAGGCGTGGATTTTTAAAATAATTTTTTTAGGGACCTCTACAAGGCGTGGATTTTTCAAATCATTTTTCCAGGGGTCTATATAAGGCGTGGATTTTTTAAATCATTTTTCAGAGATCCACATAAGGCGTGGATTTTTTAAATCATTTGTCAGAGGTCCAAATAGGGCGTGGATTTTTTAAATCATTTTTCAGAGGTCCACATAAGGCGTGGATTTTTTAAATCATTTTTCAGAGGTCCACATAGGGCGTGGATTTTTTAAATATTTTTTTCAGAGGTCCACATAAGGCGTGGATTTTTTAAATCATTTTTCAGAGGTCCAGATAAGGCGTGGATTTTTTAAATCATTTTTCAGAGGTCTATATAAGGCGTGGATTTTTTAAATCATTTTTTCAGGGACCTCTACAAGGCGTTGTTTTTTTAAATCATTTTTCCAGGGGTCTATATAAGGCGTGGATTTTTTAAATAATTTTTTCAGGGGTCTATATAAGGCGTGGATTTTTTAAATCATTTTTTCAGGGACCTCTACAAGGCGTTGTTTTTTTAAATCATTTTTCCAGGGGTCTATATAAGGCGTGGATTTTTTTAAATCATTTTTCCAGGGGTCTATATAAGGCGTGGATTTTTTAAAATCATTTTTCCAGGTGTCTATATAAGGCGTGGATTTTTTTAAATCATTTTTCCAGGGACCTCTACAAGGCGTGGATTTTTTAAATAATTTTTTCAGGGGTCTATATAAGGCGTGGATTTTTTAAATCATTTTTTCAGGGACCTCTACAAGGCGTGGACTTTTTAAATAATTTTTCAAGGACCTCTACAAGGCGTGGGTCGTTTAATTGATTTTTGAGAGGGACTTACGATTATTCTTATAGAGGCAGGGCAAATCACGTAGCCTACAAGGCTTGTAGACATCATTGGGCGGATACATCAAATCCATGGTACAGTTGCATAATTCTGTCATATATTCCTGCTGGCATTCCGCCTGGCAATTCTCATACATGTATGGACGATTTATTAGGGATTTGTAGAACAGACTTTTTAATTCATCCTGAAAAGGACGATATATATTCACAGCGATTTCCTCCACAAAGTTGAAAAAACGGACTCACCTCAAACACACATTCCCTGACCGTCTGGGAGAATAATCGTGTTGTATTATCGAACACTTGTAAATTCGCCGATAATCCTATTGTTGTGCGGGTACTTGTGGGAATTTCATGGGTGATATAAGACCAGACACCGGGTTCCACTGCCATTAACTTCAAAGAGAGAATAAATATTTTTTATAAAAAAAAAAACTTCAACATTGAAGATCGGTCCGCTTACCATCACCCCCTTTGTATCCCACGCCAAAGGGGAATGTAATTTCTCTCTCAGATTAATTTTCAACTTCAAACTATTTTTCGGTCCACTACCCAAACTACTTAATGGATAATATTTATCCATGGATTGGCGCAACATACCCTCCTTGCTCTCCACCGAATTGAAAGCCAAACACAACCCCATCAGGGAATTACGTGGCGAAAATATATCACAACAATTATAGGTTCGATTCGACCACGAACATTCACTGAGAATTTCATGGCAACGCCATGCCATCACCTCTACGATATGGCTAAAATTTATGTAATTCAATTCCCGCAGTAAAATCGGTGGATAGAGGTCAGAGAGATTTTTAAAATTATCGAATTTTCCAAATTGCAGGGTATCATAGGCATTGAGAACTTCCATAAAAACCCGCTCATGTTGTGGGGTATGATGACGTCGTCGTAAAAATTTCTCCTTAACTGCGGCATAACGTTGCCAATTAAGGCGATTTTTATTGCATAACGTTACCTCGGGAAAGGGTATTTTGAAAACGGGACGCTGTAAATCGGAGATTACCGTTTTTAAAGGTTTGTGGGTATGTATGTAGAGAATTTTCATAGTGACAAAGGTAAAGATGATGATGGCAGCAATTAGGCCAAGGGACCAAAGGATTCTGAAAAACAAAAATTTTAAAAATTTTTTTATTCGGATAAAATCGGACGAAAATATACATGGGAACTATATCTAAATCTGAACCGATTTTCACGAAATTTAACACACATCTTTCTAGACTTAATTCAGTACGCTATGCCAAATTTCGTGCAAATCGAAAAATATAAAGGGACTTTGGTACACAATTTACCCTAAATCGGACGAAGCTATATATGGGAGCTATATCTAAATCTGAACCGTTTTTTACGAAATTTAACACACATCGTTCTAGAACTAATTCAGTACGCTGTGCCAAATTTCGTGTAAATCGAAAGAAATATAGGGACTTTAGTGGACTATTTACCTAAAATCGGACGAAAATATATATGGGAGCTATATAGAAATCTGAACCGATTTTCACAAAATTTAACACACATCGTTCTAGACTTAATTCAGAATGCTATGCCAAATTTCGTGAAAATCGAAGTATATATAGATACTTTGGTACACCATTTACCTTAAATCGGACGAAAATGTATATGGGAGCTAGGTCCAAATCTGAACCGATTTTCAGGAAACTTGACACACATCATTCTAGACCTAATTCATTACGCTATGCCAAATTTCGTGCAAATCGAAATATATATAGGGACTTTGATACACCATTTACCTTAAATCGGACGAAAATGTATATGGGAGCTATATACAAATCTGAACCGATTTTCAGGAAACTTGGCACACATCACTCCAGGCTCAATTCAGTAGGCTATGTCAAATTTCGTCCACACCATTTACAATAAATCGGTCGTACATATATCTGAGACCTATATCTAAATCTGAACCGATTTCCACGAAACTTGGCACTCATCACTCCAGTCACAATCCAGTAGGCTATGCCAAATTCCGTGCAAATCGAATGATATATAGGGACTTCGGTACACCATTTACATTAAATCGGACGAAAATATATATGGGAGCTATATCTAAATCTGAACCGATTTTTACGAAATTTAACACACATTGTTCTAGACCTAATTTAGTACGCTGTGCCAAATTTCGTACAAATCGAGTGATATATAGGGACTTTGGTGCACCATTTACATTAAATCGGACGAAAATATATATGGGAGCTATATCTAAATCTGGACCGATTTTTCCCAATTTCAAAACAAAACAATCAAAACAAATATTTTTAAATCTCACCTTTCTATGGGTTTTGAGTCCCTGGGAAATATCCGATCGATGGCATGTATTGTCGATATATGAGAAAAATCTTCCAGAAGTTCTCGCCAGACTTTTGGTGTTTCCGGCCTTTTATCATCCGGCAAGAAAACTAATAATTTATTTTTCTGCTTCCTCCAAGCTTTGGACTTGTTCATAGTTTTCCGAACAAAAACTTAACAACACCAATTGAAACCGGACTGCAGTAAATCTAAATGGGATTTGCCTTTTTATATACGCTAAGTGTCGGTATAATGGCTAATAAACATAAATAGCCAACGATAGGTAAATGAAGTGTCATTTACACGTGTAAACATGCGGGCCGGATTGTCAATACGATTTGTAAATATTTAGAAATATTTAACAAAACAAATTATACTAATTTCCAAATCGAAATATTGTTTGAAATAAATTCTATTTTTCTCTATTAGCCAAAGAGAAACCTCTCCCTGGCATTAAGGACTCTCATTTGTAAATAAATATTTCGGCTAGATAGTTCAAAGTCCGTAAACATAATTGACCACCATGGCACTCCGTCACCACCCGTTCGAGGACTAAGTCAGAGTGTGGTGCCTCTGGTCAGTTTTGTTTATTTTCACAAGGACAAATTTATTATTCCTTTTCAAGCCAATTCCATTTGAAATTTTTAAAATATTTACTTAGAAATAATAATTTTTAAAATTTAATAAAATCCACGCCTTGTGTAGGTAAGGTTGGGTTGAAAAGAGGGGTGGATGATACCACCACATGTCCAACATGAAATCGACATACACATAAGCCAAATGAGGCCTGTTGTGCGCTCTAGAAATCCGGAGAAAGTTGGAATTAGTGAAAGTTTAGATTAAAAAGCATTTGGCTTTGATTCCCCTATGAATCTAGGAGTTCCGTATTTTTTGTGAACTCCTTCTTCAGTCTTCTCCATTCACACGCCCTCAGATCGGTTAGTCCGTGAAGAGTGTCATTTCTCATGAATTGTTTCCGAAGGCTTGGTAATGCTGGGCAATGACACAGGAAATATTGTAGCGCTTCACTGTCTTCCCCACACGCTCTGCACATACTGCTACCTTCGCATCCAATCTTAAGTAGATGTGCATTCAGGCTAAGGTGTCCCGTTAGAATACCCGTCAGTCGTGGCGTGTTTCGCTAAAGGGTTTGGCGGTATTCACATCTATTGTGGGTAATGCAGCAGCACTCCTGGCTAGTTGATTTGCTATCTCGTTGCTTATGCTTTATAGCATCCTTATTGCTTTATAGCATCCTGGCAGTCAGTAATAATATTTATTGTATTTTGCCCTTGGTTTGAAATAAACCAGTCACGACACTCTGTTATAGCTTGAACCTCCGCCTGTAAGATCGTGCTGTGATCTGTAAGACGAAGAGAAATTTCGGTACCCGGTTCTGCTATAAAAAGTCCCAGGCCAGTTTTTCTTCCTAATCGAGAGCCATCTGTGTAGCAACAGTTACCAGGCGACATCTGAACTAGTGTTCCGCTATTCCATTGCGGTCTGAATCAAAGGTATTGAATGTTGACTCATTAGTTGTCTGTCTATCCACTCGTCCATTGCTGCAACCGCCGCTTCATATTTTATTTGGATGTATATTGGATGTATATATAAGATTGTCTCCAAGGCCCTAGTTGGTGTAGTACGCATTGCTCTACATATACCTAGGCAACACGTTCTTTGAACTTTCTGCAAGGCTTTTACGTTACATTTTTTATACCCTTCACCACACTGTGGTACAGGGTATTATGTCTTGGTGCATATGTTTGTAACAGGCAAAAATAATCGAGATAAACCCATGGTTCCTTTTGAGAATATGCATAGAATCACTTTCTGAGTCGATTTATGCATGCCGTCCGTCCGTCTGTCCATGTTAAATTGTAAACGAAGTACAGGTCGCATTTAAGATTCGAATTGGATGAAATTTGGCACAGCTCATTTGTTTGACCCACGGACGAACCCTATTGAAATTGGTGAAAATCGGTTCAGATTTACATATAGCTTTCATATATATTTTCGTCCGATTTAAGGGAAAATGGTGTACCAAAGCCCCCATACATCTTCCGATTTGCACGAAATTTGGCAAAGCGTACTGAATTAAGTCTAGAATGATGTATAAAAAGTTTCGTGAAAATCGGTTCAGATTTAGATATAGCTCCCATATATCTTCCTCCGATTTAAGGTAAATGGTGTACCAAAGCCCCTATATATCTTTCGATTTGCATGAAATTTGGCATAGCGTATTGAATTTAGTCTAGAATAAGGTGTGCAAAGTTTCGTGAAAATCAGTTCAGATTTAGATATAGCTTCCATATATATTTTCGCCCGATTTTAGGTAAATGGTGTAACAAAGTCCCCATATATCTTTAGATTTGCGCGAAATTTGGCATAGCGTACAGAATTAAGTCTAGAATGATGTGTGAAAAGTTTCGTGAAAATCGGTTCAGATTTAGATACAGCTGTATATATCTTCGTCCGATTCAGGGTAAATGGTGCACCAAAGTCCCCACATATCTTTCGATTTGCACGTAGTAGCACCCTTTGCTAGTTGATTCGGTTCAGATTTAGATATAGCTCCCATATATATCTTCGTCCGATTTAAGATAAATTGTGCACCAAAGTCCCCACATATCTTTCGATTTGCACGAAATTTGGCATAGCGTATTGAATTTAGTCTAGAATTAGGTGTGCAAAGTTTCCATGAAAATCGGTTCTGATTTAGATATAGCTCCCATATATATATATATATATATTCATCCGATTTTAGGTAATTGGTGCACCAAAATCTCTGAAAAACATTCGATGGCACGAAATTTGGCATAACCTACTGAATTAAGTATAGAATGATGTGTGCAAAGTTTCGTGAAAATCGGTTCAGATTTAGATATATCTCCCATATATATTTTCTTCCGATTTAAGGTAAATGGTGTACCAAAGTCCCTACATATCTTTCGATTTGCTCTAAATTGGGCACAGCGGAATGAATTTAGTCTAGAAAGAGGTGTGCAAAGTTTCATGAAAATCGTCCGATTTAAGGTAAATCTTTCGATTTGCACAAAATTTGGCATAGCGTATTGAATTTAGTCTAGAATTAGGTGTGCAAAGTTTCGTGAAAATCGGTTCAGATTTAGATATAGCTCCCATATATATTTTCGTCCGATTTAAGGTAAATGGTGTATCAAAGTCCCTACATATCTTTCGATTTTCACGATTTTTGAATTAAGTCTAGAATGATGTTGCTGAGCTTCGTGAAAAGATCCGTAGCTAGGACGATTGACACAACGTACTGAAGTAATATAAATTAGTCTCTGGAAAGTTTCTCTGAATACAGTTCAGATATAGATATATAACAAACACGCGACGTCTGTTAGGATACATATGTAGAATATTATACATATACATTGCTGTCCACCAGACAACAGACGCGTATGTTAGAATTGGTCTAATAACGCTCTTATAGATCCGGTGTATCTTCTTTGGATTGAAACCTCAATTAGACCCTAAGGCTCTTCTACACAAAGACCAGAATCTGTGGCCTTGTCAGCCCTTTGCTGTATGTGGGCTTTCCATTTAAGTTTCTTGTCTAGAATTACTCCCAGATACTTAACTATGTTTGATATGGCTATCCGATTGTTTTGGAAGATGGGATCTTCATACGGACCTATTTTTGTCTTTCTAGTGAAAAGACATATCTCCATTTTGTCCGGATTTACGTTTAAGCCCCATCGGTTTTGCCCAATCGTAGGCGATTTTAAGCACCGTTACGTCTTTCGTGCATAGTAAATTAGGATTCCTTCCCCTAAGAAGTATTATAACGTCAGCGGCATAACAGACTGGTTCAAATTCTACATCGGTTAAGTTCCTTAAGAGTCCATTTATGGTAGTTTCCCACAGGAGCGGTGACGAATTCCCTCCCTGTGGTGTTCCCTGACCTACTTTGTCTCTGATTGTTATGTCATGTAGGCTACAGCTAATCCATCGATTCCTTAGTATATAGTTAACCCAGTCTGTGATTGCCCGGTCAACTTGGAAGGTATCTAAGGATTGGATAAACGTATTAGTGTTGACATTGTTGGGAGGGTCCTTCAATGTCAATGCATACTGCTAAGGTATAAATCTTCTCAGCGAAGGTGCCCTCAATATAGTGTACTACCTCATGCAAAGCAGTGTCCACTGATCTCCCCTTTACATACGCATGTTGTTTGTATTTCACTGTATCATTGGGTATACTGGTCTTTATCATGGTGTCGATTGTACGTTCCATGGTTTTGAGTAGGAAAGAAGTTAGGCTTATTGACCGAGATGATTTTGGTGTGACGTAGTTTGCCTTGCCGGGCTTGGGTATGAAGACTACCCTGGCTTCCTGCCAGGCTTTTGGTGTGTACGTCAACCCTAAACATACATTAAAGATTGCGGCTAGATGTGGTGATAAAAATACCGGTCCTGCCGCTTTCAATGGTAAGAAGCGTTTTAAGGCTTCTAACACCATTGAATTATCAATAATAGGTTCCTCTGATCTTTCTTCCCTATCTGCCATGACATCGTCCATTGTCGATGCGTTCGATGGGAAGTAAACATTCATTAGGAACCTTAGTGTTTCCTCGATTGTTTCTATCCTATTACCCTCACTGTCTACCATAGTTTTGGGTTGGGTGTGGGGTTTTCGATAGAAACTTCTTGATTTTTTGAAACCTCTTTGTCAGTGTCTATCTGTTCGCAGAACAGCTTCCAGGAGTGCGTTTGGCGGTTCTTGTCAATTTATTGTATTCTTTCCGTTAATCGCGGAAGTTGTCCCAGAAAACTGTAGAATTTTTCGGCGTGCTCTGTTGTACAGCTATCGGATCTCTTTTCCTTTGTTCCGAACCTCCCCTGCCACCCATGAGTTTTCAATAGCAGATATCCTTTCTCGAAGAGGACAACTTTCTTCGAAAGCCTTTTCAATTATTTCCGTTAATTTGTTGGCATTCATGTCTATGCTCTGTTGTAAAGCTTTCGGGCCTCTACACTTCTGAGACTCTCCATTCCTGGACCTTATCTATTAAGTTTGCTGAACATATTGTTATATCTAATACCTCCCCTCTAATTCTGTTAACAAAGGTAGGTTTATTTTCTATGTTAAGTGTTAGATCGCTGGTGATCTAGAAGGGCTGGCCCTGAAGGGCTGATGTGAGTTAGCATATCTACCAATTAGTACTTCGTTACCTGTTTCGTGTGTTTTCTTCACCAGTCGCTGCAGTTCCGCCGTTGGTGGTGTTATCGGCGAGTCGAACGGGAGATATACTGAAGCCAGGTAAATGTTACCCTGCTCCTCTGCTTCAGTACAGTGGCGTCCGATGTTGACAACTATGGGGGGAAGAAAAAGCATAACATTTTGTGACATATTATACAAGTTCTCGGACGAGAACCCGTATTTGCATAACATAGTTGCTAATTTATATGGCTTAATCCAGAGACCGTGTTTTCAAGTGTCCAAGGTTCCTGGATCAGTTCGATGTGTATTTTACCTTTTATTATTTTTCCATCAGGGCCAGGGTTGCCGTCTCGCTCCGATGGAGGTTTAAGTAGCCGGTTTTCTTGGGAGTCCGTGATCTTCTCCTCGGCTCCCTCCTCTTTGTTGCTGGGTATTTTCCCCTCGCTGTTGTCCTTGGCTTCATTGCCTCCAATCCTTGCCTTCCCGATTTTGAAGTACACGGCGTTGGACACGTAGTGTGCCTTGCCCTTGGTCTTAGTCAGATGTGTATTTTACCTTTTCTTATTTTTTCCATCAGGGTCCTCAAGTAACCGGTTTTCTTGGGAATCCGTGATCTTCTCCTCGGCTCCCTCCTCTTTGTTGCTGCGTACTTTCCCCTCGCTGTTGTCATTGGCTTCATCATCTCCAATTCTTGCTTTTCCGATTTTGAAGTAAACGACATTGGACACGTAGTGCGCCTTGCCCTCGGTTTTAGCCAGATTTCGCCATTGAAGACCTGTCCAAGCCTAATACAAGGAGAGTCCCTTCCTATTTCTCCTCCCTTTGGAAACATTCCCACTTCTTCACATGCAGTGTATTGTTTTGTAGGCTGAAGACCTCGAGCATGCGTTTCGTGTCGAAATCGCTGCCCCAACCTTTGACAAAGACTATAGCCTTTTGTAGTTGAGGAATGTCTTTATCCCTCACCAGCTTGAGTTTCATTGTTCCATCTATTGGTCCAATGCTTGCCACTATCTTCCTCAGGGCTTCTATGCTATTTGGATTTTCAAATTCCAGCATTAGATAGTCTCCTTTGAAAGCGCAGCTATCCAGGTCAATAGAGTCCCTGTGGATGACTTCCCACTTCTTCACATGCAGTGTCTTGTTTTGTAGGCTGAAGACCTCGAGCATGCGTTCCGTGTAGACTGTACTCTTTTGCAGTTGAGGAATGTCTTTTTCCTCAGCAGCTTGAGTTTCATTGTTCCATCTATGGGTCCAATGCTTGTCACTATCATCCTCAGGGCTTCTATTCTATTTGGATTTTCAAATTTCAGCATTAGATAATCCCCTTTGAAAGCGTTGCTATCCACTTCAATAGAGTCCCCTCCTTGTCTTAAGTACTCCATGATCTCGCTGTTGACCGCATTTAGCACTTCCTTATGGGTCTCCTTTTTTAGTTCACCGGACGCGCTATTTCCGTTGATCACTGCATATCAGAGCTCGTCTCGATAGCGTTTCCTGGCAACCTTGGCATAAGACGGCGGCTTCTTACCATATGCTGCTGTCTTCTTCCTCTTTCGTAAATACCGATTGGTCCTTTTGGGATTCCCGGTCTTTGCGGAAGATTCCGACTCCGCACTCGCCTTCCTGATATCAGCCTTTGTGCTTCCAGCTACCGCCTTTGTGCCACAGACAACTGCTTCATACTGGTTGTGAGATGTCAGCCTCTTCTCTCTTCCGGCTCTCTAAGACGGTTATGTTTGTCTAATTATCATGATCAGACTCAGAGTCCGAAGTTCAGTTCCCTCCAATCTCTGGGTCAAGATTGCTCTTCCCCTGTGGTTACCCAACTCGAAGTTATTTCTCACAATCGCGGGATGACGACGGGCGTGATTCGTGGGCAGATCAACGACACCCGCCGGTGCTGACTTATTTAGGCTCTGCACCGCAACTTTATTTTTTTTTCCTTCTTTTTCCATCTTTTATTTCCACGCCTTGTGTAGGTCCTTGAAAAAATGATTTAAAAAATCCACGCCTTGTGTAGGTCCTTGAAAAAATGATCTAAAAAATCCACGCCTTGTGTAGGTCCTTGAAAAAATGATCTAAAAAATCCACGCCTTGTGTAGGTCCTTGAAAAAATGATTTAAAAAATCCACGCCTTGTGTAGGTCCTTGAAAAAATGATTTAAAAAATCCACGCCTTGTGTAGGTCCTTGAAAAAATGATTTAAAAAATCCACGCCTTGTGTAGGTCCTTGAAAAAATGATTTAAAAAATCCACGCCTTGTGTAGGTCCTTGAAAAAATGATTTAAAAAATCCACGCCTTGTGTAGGTCCTTGAAAAAATGATTTAAAAAATCCACGCCTTGTGTAGGTCCTTGAAAAAATGATTTGAAAAATCCACGCCTTGAGCAGGTCCTTGAAAAAATGATTTGAAAAATCCACGCCTTGTGTAGGTCCTTGAAAAAATGATTTAAAAAATCCACGCCTTGTGTAGGTCCTTGAAAAAATGATTTAAAAAATCCACGCCTTGTGTAGGTCCTTGAAAAAATGATTTAAAAAATCCACGCCTTGTGTAGGTCCTTGAAAAAATGATTTAAAAAATCCACGCCTTGTGTAGGTCCTTGAAAAAAATTATTTAAAAAATCCACGCCTTGTGTAGGTCCTTAAAAAAATAATTTTAAAAATCCACGCCTTGTGTAGGTCCTTGGAAAAATCCACGCCTAGGTCCTTAAAAAATTATTTAAATCCACGCCTTGTGTAGGTCCTTAGAAAAAATTATTTAAAAAATCCACGCCTTGTGTAGGTCCTTGAAAAAATTATTTAAAAAATCCACGCCTTGTGTAGGTCCTTGAAAAAATTATTTAAAAAATCCACGCCTTGTGTAGGTCCTTGAAAAAAATGATTTAAAAAATCCACGCCTCATACAGACCTTGAAAAAATGATTTAAAAAATCCACGCCTCATACAGAGTAGCCCTTGAAAAAAAATTATTTAAAAAATCCACGCCTTAAAAAAAATCCACGCCTTGTGTAGGTACTTGAAAAAATTATTTAAAAAATCCACGCCTTGTGTAGGTCCTTGGAAAAAAATAATTTAAAAAATCCACGCCTTGTGTAGGTCCTTGGAAAAAAATGATTTAAAAGATCCACACCTTGTGTAGGTCCTTGAAAAAATTTATTTAAAAAATCCACGCCTTGTGTAGGTCCTTGAAAAAAATGATTTAAAAAATCCACGCCTTGTGTAGGTCCCTAGAAAAAATTATTTAAAAAATCCATGCTTTGTGTGGGTCCTTGGAAAAATTTATTTAAAAAATCCACGCCTTGTGTAGGTCCTTGAAAAAAATGATTTAAAAAATCCATGCCCTTTGTGAACCGTTGACCTTCCCTAACAATGTTGCCTTTATCGAAATTGATTTGACAGCCAGCTGCAAAGTGATTTTTTCCTATTATCTAACCCGCCAGACGTCATTAAGACTTGTTGACCTGACACTCATTAAAGCAATGTTGTCACAAATAAATTGCCGGAAAAACGACAATTGTTGCAGACCCCAATTACAACTACAACAACATTACAAAGTGGCCATAGACACGAATATTTGAAATTCAAAAGATTTATAAAAGTGCAGTCATTAAAAGCCCAGCAAAGGACCAGGACGAACTTAATAATTGAAAAAAAAAATCCCAGGCGGAAAAATGTTATTCGAAGAGAATTATAAATATATTAGGCAGCATACCTCCAAGTTGCTGAACTTCTGGCCGGAGATCAAGGCAACCGAACCCCTGGACGACACTGCCAATAAAACCAATTTTGGTAAGGCCCTTAGAGATGATGTGCTGCGCATACGAACCGTGCATGGTGTTGAAAGGGTCTGTGAGCGAAGTTCATCAAAAATTGAGAAGTAAGGATAAGGGGTTAGCGATGGATCGGAATAAGTGGAAATAATTAAAAAGAAGAAAAAAACTGTCGCTTAAATTATTTTTCAGAATCCTCGTCGTTTGCGTATTCATTGCTGCCATTTATTTTTTTGTCCACATTGCCTCCAGCATTGCCTATGTGTACCGCTACAAGCCCATGCAAACGGTCATTTCCGATCTGAGATATCCGATTTATAAAATCCCCTTTCCTGAGATTACCATCTGCAATCAAAATCGCCTCAATTGGCAGCGTTACGAGGAGGCCCGAGAGAAATTTCTTCGGCCCAAACATTTGACCCCGGAATATGAGGAAATATTTCGGCAAGCCGTCAATGCCTATGATACAATGCGTTTTGGTCATTTTCAAAGCTTGAAGGATTTGGCTGAGATTTATGAGGCTACTCCGAAGCTGCTGGAAGATTTAAATTATGTCAATCTCACGAAGGTGGTGGAGTTTATGGCCTGGAAATGCCATGAAATGCTGTCCCACTGTTCGTGGTTGAATGCCACAAAGGATTGTTGTAAAATATTTGCCCAGCGAAAATCACAGAAGGGATTGTGTTTGTCCTTCAACACCATTGAATCGAAGGAGGGTGCCCTGAAGCATATTTTGGACCCCTACTATCCGTGGCATGTGGTGGGCTTTGGGGCCACGAAGGGGTTGTATGTGGACATACACATCAAAGAGGGTTGGCATTCACCGCTAAGCCACAATGATAAGGGGATATTGGTGAGGGGAACGATAAACACACACATACATGCATACATACAAAAAAATATTTTTTTCAACAGGTAATGCACAATGAGCCGTATGTTTGGTCCTATCTGCATCGGGACGTACCCACTAGTACACGCACTGCCATATCCATTGATGCTTTCTTGAGGACTCACCATCCCAATTGTCGGGTCTACTCGAGTGATGTAAGGCAGTGTGTTTTTGAGGTGAGTAATTTTTTGGGGTCTGTCAAAAGGCAGAATAGTTTTTTCAAGGACCTACACAAGGCGTGGATTTTTTAAATACTTTTTTCAAGCAACTCCACAGAAGGCGTGGGTTTTTTTAATAATTTTTTCAAGGACCTCTACAGAAGGCGTGGATTTTTTAAATAATTTTTTCAAGGACCTCCATAGAAGGCGTGAATTTTTTTAAATAATTTTTTCAAGGACCTCCACAGAAGGCGTGAATTTTTTAAATAATTTTTTCAAGGACTTCCACAGAAGGCGTGGATTTTTAAATAATTTTTTCAAGGACCTCCACAGAAGGCGTGGATTTTTAAAATAATTTTTACAAGGCGTGGATTTTTTAAATAATTTTTTCAATGACCTCCACAGAAGGCGTGGATTTTTTAAATAATTTTTTCAAGGACCTCCACAGAAGGCGTGGATTTTTAAAATAATTTTTACAAGGCGTGGATTTTTTTAAATAATTTTTTCAATGACCTCCACAGAAGGCGTGGATTTTTTAAATAATTCTTTCAAGGACCTATATGAGGCGTGGATTTTTTAAATAATTTCTTCAAGGACCTATATGAGGCGTGGATTTTTTAAATAATTTTTTCAAGGACCTATATGAGGCGTGGATTTTTTAAATAATTTTTTCAAGGACCTATATGAGGCGTGGATTTTTTAAATAATTTTTTCAAGGACCTATATGAGGCGTGGATTTTTTAAATAATTTTTTCAAGGACCTATATGAGGCGTGGATTTTTTAAATAATTTTTTCAAGGACCTATATGAGGCGTGGATTTTTTAAATAATTTTTTCAAGGACCTATATGAGGCGTGGATTTTTTAAATAATTTTTTCAAGGACCTATATGAGGCGTGGATTTTTTAAATAATTTTTTCAAGGACCTATATGAGGCGTGGATTTTTTAAATAATTTTTTCAAGGACCTATATGAGGCGTGGATTTTTTAAATAATTTTTTCAAGGACCTATATGAGGCGTGGATTTTTTTACATATTTTTTTGAGACCTATATAAGGCGTGGATTTTTTTAAATATTTTTTTTCTGAGACCTATATAAGGTGTAATTGTACCGTGGACTTGTTTTATCCTCCGTCAGAATTTCCGGCATGCCGTCTCAAAGATTTGCCTTGTTTATATCGGAATGATGGTATGTTGGAAGGCAAAACTAAAATCAGAAAATTTCCCTAAAACCCCTTAATATGCTGTCTTCCAGAAAAACTACAGGTCTTTGAACAAATTGGTGAAATGGATTTTGTGAAATTTACCCGTCGCGGCATGTACTGCCCCTGCTTTATGAACTGCAAGTCGTTGCGTTATCTAAGTGATTTTCGTGTACAAAATTTACCCAAAGCGGAAATGGATCCGAATGATACACGTATTGAATTGTCGGTGTATTTTCTATGGGATACGATTATGGTGTATCAGACGAGACCGGTGTACACCCTGGTGGATTTGATGGGTAAGGTGAGGGAGGGTATCTTATAAAATTTGGAATAATTTTTGTTGTGCCCTTTCAGCTTCATTTGGCGGCTTGGCCGCTCTGTGCATTGGCAGCTCTCTAATAGGCGTCATCGAATTTTTGTATTTCCTCTTGTTCGATCTGACCAAACAGTTTTATCTATACTTTAAATGGAAGAAAACGAGTCGAGCCAAATCTCAGGATTTAAAAACGAAACGCATTAATGTAAAGGAATTTCAAATTTAGAAAAATATTGAATAAAATTGTAATGGATCCAATGAACAAAAATTAACCCTCTATACAGGGTCTTTAAAAAATCCACGCTATTTATTTTTCCTTGGAATAATACTTTTAAAAAATACACGCCATTTATAGGGACTTTAAAAATCGTTTAAAAACCGCTGAACCATTAAAAATTAATATTAAAAAATCCACCCCTATCGATTATGTCTCAACAAATTATTATTGTTGTTGTTGTTTGGAACCTGATAAAAAATAATTATTAGGCTGATGTTAATTATTTGAATGTTAACAACAACATTGTCATATGCCAGTCAACAAAAACAAAAAAAAAAAAAACAATTTTGGGAAAAGTGCACTTGTCACGAATATCTGACCTGCTAATCTGAACAGTCTCTTGGTAAACAAATTGGGGGAATGTAAACAGTAAATCCTCAGCCATGTAAAGGCGAGAATAATATCCAAATCTACGGAAGGAGGAGAAAAAATTAACAATTTGGCCAAGTCAAATTTTTGAGACCTAAATAAAGCGTAGATGTTTTAAATAATTTTTTTTCAGAGACCTATATAAGGCGTGTGGGTGGCGTAGGGGATGATAGAGACCAAGCAACGGCTCTGATTGGTTTTAACATGGAGAAGTCCAGGCTTATCTTGGTCCCTCTTTCATCTCAATTGTGGACACTGACCTCCCCGCGGTGCCACCTGGGGAGCTATGCTCATCACCCGATGAAATAGTGAGCTAGTATGTGCCGCGAGTTCACCCATAAGAACTATAAACCAGTGAGCGGAGCAGTATAGTCGGACGGGGCCGACCATACGATACCCTACACAACTACCACGGAACTCAAATTTTTTGCGGATGTTTATTCCGAGCCTGGGCAATATTTCGTGATATTTTCCCCCTCTTGCCCGATTAGAAGTAAACAGCACCTCACAGTGACATATTTTCCGAATATTTCGAGTATTCAGTACAGCTATTGTCCAGATTTCAGATTCTTTCGACTTTCATTTGTGGTCTATAGATCGACTCGAAAATAACACAAAAAATTAAGTTTTCGGTCCACTTCATTCCAAAATTATTATCTGATCATCATCGAAAATTATAGGCGTTGTCCTTGACCATAACTGAAACCTCGTGGTACATTTCAAAGCGATCAGCGCTATATTTCCGCCCTCCAGTATGGTAATGGGTTACTCAATAATATACGTATACGGAGATACCTATAAATATTTGGGTGTAACTCCCACATCCGAGCACATACAACTATATAATTGGTATTAATTTAAAGGTCAACCACTCCTCTTGGATATAAAATCAACTTCTCGGGTCTATGTCCATCAGGGACAAATATATACGCTATAGAATACAAATTTTGTCATTTTTCACACAAAAGTCAGGGTCCATTTGACCCGCTAAATATTGACCGATCTTTATCAAAACATGCATGCTTATTCTTTGGCCTGATCCCCTTCTCCATGCAAAATTTCAAGATGTTTGAGCCATTATTGCGGCCTCTGGAGCGACCAGAAAAACCGACAAAAATTTAGTATTTGGTCCATTTCATCCCTTAAATATTAACCGATCTTTCCCAAAAACAATAGGGGTCTTCATTGGCCAGAACCCATCCTACATGCAAAATTTCGTGAAGATTGGTCCATAACTGTGGCCTGTATCGTGTTTACAAATTATAATGGACAGACGGACGGACGGACGGACACACATGTCTAGATCGACTCAGCTAGTCGAGATATGACGATCGGTATACTTAAAGGTGGGTCTAGGACCAATATTTCGCGGCGTTACAAACTTTTGGGGCTGCACAAAGCTATAATACCCTGACAACATAGTTGTGTAGGGTATAAAAAATGGGTTGAGGCGTCGGGTTAGTTGCCCACTCTCGGAAAACCCAACCTACTATGAAAAAACTAAGAAAAAGAGAACCAAACCCCCTTAATGTTGACGACCCCCGCAAACGTATAAAGGACCACGATCTGCGAATCTGCACTTGGAATGTGCGCACTTTGTACAGAACAGGCGCAGTGTTCGCTTTGGCGGATATACTCAGGATGTACAAAGCCGATATTATTGCCTTACAGGAAATGCGATGGAAAGGGACAGGCGTAAGTAAATCAGACGATTAGGCTCTGTATTATAGCTGCCATGAAACGAGATCTGAATTTGGCTGCGGATTTATGGTTAACAGGAGAATAAAAGACCTTGTCTCCAGATTCACTCCAGTAGATGAGCGAATTGCTATAATCCGTATAAAAGCGAAGTTCTTTTACATCCTTCCAATTTGCGCCCATGCTCCGACCGAAGATAAAGATGAACAGACCAAAGACATATTTTACGAGCGCTTAAAAACAGCATATGACCGTTGCCCTGGCCACGACATTAAAATGTTGCTAGGAGATTTTAATGCAAAAATCGGAAGGGAAAATATCTTTGGCCCCACCGTCGGAAAATTCAGCCTTCATGAAGAAACATCCGACCACGGCATGAGGTTGATTGACTTCGCGGCAGCAAACACCATGGTAGTTAGCAACACCAGATTCAAGCATCTCGATATACACAAGGCCACCTGGATCTCTCCTGATCAAGTAACGAGAAATCAAATTGATAATGTTGTGGTAGACGGAAGGCATTCATCCAGGGTTTTAGACGTCCGATTGATCCGAGGATGAATATCGATTCGGACCATTACCTTGTTACCAGCCAAGGTACTCACCCGTCTTAATGTTGCAGCAAAGCTGCGATCTAATACAACACGGAAACTCGACGTCGAAAAGCTGCAAACACAACAGATAGCCGAGGCCTATTCCGCTCAACTTACCCATCTGCTTGAAGAAAGCACTTCTTGTCCCGATAATTGTATAAAAGCACAATGGCAAAGAATTGCCCACTCCCTACCAACTGCAGCAAAAGCAACATTTGGGTACCACAAACCACCACCCAGAAACCCATGGTACGATCAGGAGTGTCGTAACGTATTTTCAGAAAAAAGAAGAAAGAACAAGAAAAACGTGAGCGTGCGCAAATCGAGATGTACAGGAGCCAGAATGAAGTCCGGAAATTTTGCCAACGAGTAAAACACCAAACCGAAGGCTTTGGTGCAGGCACATCCTCCTGTAGAGATGAAGAAGGAAAGATACAGACAGCGTGTTGAGGATCTGGAAGGAGCATTTTGGTGGCGATGAAGAAGATACCCCAGAACCAATAAAAGATGATGGTATAGAGTGTATACCACCTAGCCAAGATGAGGTCATAAAAGCAATTAATCGGCTCAAGAACAACAAAGCAGCAGGAGCCGATGGGTTACAAGCCGAACTATTCAAGACTGGTGGTCAGATGCTTATCAGGAGCATGCACTAGCTGATTAGCACAATTTGGCTAGATGAATGCATGCCCAATGATTGGAACCTCGGCATCCTGTGTCCCGTGCACGAAAAAGGAGACAAGACGATATGTGCCAACTATAGAGGAATAAGTCTCCTTCCCATCGCATATAAAGTCCTATCCAGTGTGCTGTGTGAACGATTGAAGCCAATGATCAATGACATCATCGGACCATACGAATGCGGCTTAAGACCTGGCAAATCCATTATTGACCAGATTTTCACTCTGCGCCAAATCCTTGAAAAGACCCACAAAAAACACATCGACACATACCACCTATTTGTCGACTATAAAGCCGCATTCGACAGCCCTATCCGTTCAGAGGTGTTTAAAGCCATGTCTGCGTTCGGTATTCCTGCAAAATTAATACGGCTATGCAGGATAGCTTTAAGTGGCACAAGGTCAGCAGTTAAAGTAGGAAAGGACCTATCGGAGCCCTTCAATACCGAACGAGGATTCAGACAAGGTGACAGTTTGTAGTGTGATCTTTTTAACATCCTGCTGGAAAAGGTCATACGAGACGCAAAGGTGAACCGAAATGGCACTCTGTACACCAAACCACCCATGTTACTCGCCTACGCCGATGACATCGATATAACACTGCGAGCGGTAACAGCCACCTTTGAACAAATTGAAAAGGAGTCTGCCAAAGTTGGTCTGGCAGTAAACGGCGAGAAGACCAAGCTGATGGCGCAAGACGTACAGTAGACTCGGACCAACTGTAAAACTTGAGAACTACAGCTTCAAGGTAGTCAAAGATTTTATATACCTTGGTACCGCCATAAATAAAACTATTGGCATCAGTTTTGAAATTCGGAAAAGGATTGTGATGGCCAAACGATGCTACTATGGTCTAAGTAAGCAGTTTAGAAACAAGGCCACCTCCCGTCAGACCAAACTCACACTTTAAAAGACGCTGATACTACCCATGCTATTATATGGATCAGAAGCATGGGTACTTGCGCATGCAGATGAGGCAGCTCTTGAGGTGTTTGAGAGAAAACTTCTCCGAAAGATCTCCGGGCCGATCTGCGTCGACGGCGAATATCGGCGAGCTTTTCAATTTATACGCGGACATCGACATAGTCAGTCGTATTGAGTTGTAGCAACTACGATGGCTAGGCCATATTGTGCGAATGAATAGGAATGCCCCAGCTCAAAAGGCATATAAAAGCGAGCCTACTGATGGTTCCCGTAGAAGGGGATGGCCACGAATCAGATGAAAAGACCAAGTAGAAAATAACATCTTGGAACGTGGTCTTCCAAATTGGTGGACTTGCGCACAAGACCGACGCGCTTGGAAATCTTTTTCAAGCCCGGCTTATGGAACAACCGTTCTGTAAACAAGCCAGCTAAGTAAGTAATATAAGGCGTGTATTTATACCCATCACCACACTGTGGTACAGGTTATTATGTCTTTGTGCATATTTTTGTAACAGGTATAATGAAGGTTAGGTTAGGTTTGGAGAGATGACAAACGTACAGAAAATTATAAAAAAAGGTAAAATTGGAGTAAGGTCGATGGCTATATGAATCAGACAGAAGATGTGTTACGTGTCAAGGTTGTATTTTCCTAACCACTTTAGGTTTCTAATTATGCTGTAGATTAGAGCAGGTTCGGTTGTTGAGAAGAAGCTAAGACTCGGTAGAAAATGGACACCCACTAGTCTGTGCCGCCTGTAAGCCAGGACTGGACAGTGACACAGGATATGCTCAATTGTCTGCGCCTCCTCCTCGTCAAGGCAGAGTCTACAGTAATAAATTGCATCAAGATCCCATTTACTAGTAAACGCCCTGATACTGCAGTGACCAGTAATTATTTCTATAATTACTCTTAATTCAGATTTGCTCAGGTTCAACAGTGAGTGTGTTCTTTTGGTAGACAGAGTCGGCAAAATGGATATTGACACGTTGCACCTAGGTTCGTTGTGCCAAAGTTCATAGGCTCTTTCGTCGAAGTAGGCCTCAAAGTTCCGGTAAAAAGACATATGGGTGGTTTGATTGAGTCAACAGTTGCTAGAGCTGTGGATTGAGATCCTCGTCTAGCTAGTTCGTTCGCTTTTTCATTACCCAAGATGTCACAATGTCCTGGTACCCAACACAACCGATAGCTGTAAGTAAGTTCTTCCAAAGCTGCCCTACACTTGAGGACGGCCTCAGATTTGATATTGACTATTCACGAAGATTGTCACCGGTTCAACGACCTCTGCATTCAAACTTTTTATCAATTCCGCTGCCCCTTCCAAATCGCGAAGATTTCAGCTTGGAAAACACTACAGTTGCAATCCAGTTTGTAGGTTAACTCAAGGACTAGCCTTTCACAGTAGACACCCGCCCCCTGTACCTTCTTTCATCTTGTATAGAAGGCCAGACCGTCCAGAGGAGGGTTATTTCAGTTCCAGTCGTATCTACTAGGAATAACGACATCTACATCGTCAAATCTCAGGATTGGTTATATATAGTCACTTAGTTTAACGCGTTGGTCTAATGTCATACCTGGCTCGTTCAAAATACTACCATGCCCGAAGGTACAATTCGGCCAAAGGTTTTGTTCATGCAGCCTTAGGGCGCTGCGCGCGCCCTGACCCTTAATGCTGAGGCCAAGAGGCTTAAAATCCAGCATTGCGTTCAGAGCTGCTTGTGGCGTACTCTTCCTGGCTCCTGTAACTAAAATCGAGGCGGTTCTTTGTACCTTATCTAATTTGCTGGATGTCGACATGTGGCGCAGAAAGTTCCACCACACAAGAGAACCATAGGATAGGATGGACCTTACCACGGTGTTATACAACCAGTGTATAGTCGATGGATTTAGCCCCCCAGCTTTTCCCAATGGAGTTCTTGCATGCATAGAGTGCAATCATTCCTCTCTTCGCCCGTTCCTCAGCGTTCCTATTCCATCGTAGTTGACAGTCCAGAATTGTGCCGAGGTACTTTGGTTCGGGAGATAGATGAAGTGGCACTCCATCCAGTGTTGGTGGAGCACAAACGCCAAGTTTACGCTTCCTAGTGAACATTACCACTTCCGACTTTGTTAGATTTACACCATGGCCGTTTGCCCTGACCTATATCAGGCGTGGATTTTTTTTTTTTTTTTTTTGAATATTTGCATTAAAATGTATATATAATCTCTTCATATTAATTCGGAACGGGAATATTGTTTCACCAGAATCCGCTTAGCTTTTATGCTTTGCCTTTTCAAATTGGAGCGATTTGCTGAACTAAGACTTCGCACTCCCTGTTTGGGTACATCGAAAAAGAAAAAGTACACAATTTCTGTGATGCCAATGAGAGAGCAACCAAAAAATAGACCGGCCAGACCTCCCACAGAAGCTGTAATTAGAAAAGAAAATTATTTCAGATCATATTACACCCTGCCGCCACTTCCCTCACCTAATAAGTCCACAAAAGGATAGACAGCAGACGTCTCATAGATCATCATTGTGTGTTGCCGATAATAAACATACATTTCAATGTCGGTATTATTCGAATCGACATTCTCATTCGGTATGTGGTGTATAAAGTAGTCGGGAAAATATTCCATAGACATGCAATTGAGATGGCAAGGACAATTCATACCTTTACCGGTTTTCTGGACATAGGGGGCTTCATCGTTGTTTTCAAAGGATCGAAGAAATTCTGTTCGGAGGAGAGACTATAGTTTAATCGCTTGTGTACATGGCGGGTCATATGCATTAGCTTACCATCATGCCGATATAAGCATGGCAAATCGGATAATCGGCAAGGCCTAAATCGTCCTGGTGGATAAAATAAATCCACCGAACAATTGCAATAGAGCTCCATATGCTCTTGCTGGCATTCGGCAATACAATTTTCCCACATATATTTGTGATTTTGTAGGGATTTGAAGAACATGGTGCCAAGTTCGTCCTGGAAGAAAGAATTTTTTTTTTGTTTTTTAAATCCACGCCTTATATAGGACCCAGAAAAAAATCATTTAAAAAATCCACGCCTTATATAGACCCCTGAAAAAATGATTTAAAAAATCCACGCCTTATATAGACCCCTGAAAAAATGATTTAAAAAATCCACGCCTTATATAGACCCCTGAAAAAATGATTTAAAAAATCCACGCCTTATATAGACCCCTGAAAAAATGATTTAAAAAATCCACGCCTTATATAGACCCCTGAACAAATGATTTAAAAAATCCACGCCTTATATAGACCCCTGAAAAAATGATTTAAAAAATCCACGCCTTATATAGACCCCTGAAAAAATGATTTAAAAAATCCACGCCTTATATAGACCCCTGAAAAAATGATTTAAAAAATCCACGCCTTATATAGACCCCTGAAAAAATGATTTAAAAAATCCACGCCTTATATAGACCCCTGAAAAAATGATTTAAAAAATCCACGCCTTATATAGACCCCTGAAAAAATGATTTAAAAAATCCACGCCTTATATAGACCCCTGAAAAAATGATTTAAAAAATCCACGCCTTATATAGACCCCTGAAAAAATGATTTAAAAAATCCACGCCTTGTGTAGCTCCTTAGAAAAAATTATTTAAAAAATCCACGCCTTGTGTAGGTCCTTAGAAAAAATTATATAAAAAATCCACGCCTTATATAAGACCCAGAAAAATTTATATAAAAAATCCACGCCTTATATAAGACCCAGAAAAATTTATATAAAAAATCCACGCCTTATATAGGACCCAGAACAATCTAAACATTATATAGGACCCAGAAAAATTGATATCAAAAATCCACGCCTTATATAGGATCCAGAAAAATTTATATAAAAAATCCACGCCTTATATAAGACCCAGAAAAATTTATATAAAAAATCCACGCCTTATATAAGACCCAGAAAAATTTATATAAAAAATCCACGCCTTATATAGGACCCAGAAAAATTTATATAAAAAATCCACGCCTTATATAGGACCCAGAAAATTTATATATAGAAAATCCACGCCTTATATAGGACCCAGAAAAATTTATATAAAAAAATCCACGCCTTATATAGGACCCAGAAAAATTTATATAAAAAAATCCACGCCTTATATAGGATTCAGAAAAATTTATATAAAAAAATCCACGGACCCAGAAAAATCATTAAAAAAATCCACGCCTTATATAGGACCCAGAAAAAATCATTTAAAAAATCCACGCCTTATATAGGACCCAGAAAAAATCATTTAAAAAATCCACGCCTTATATAGGACCCAGAAAAATTAATATAAAAAATCCACGCCTTATATAGGACCCAGCAAAATTGATATAAAAAATCCACGCCTTATATAGGACCCAGAAAAATTGATATCAAAAATCCACGCCTTATATAGGATCATAAACATAATTTTTAAAAAATCCACGCCTTATATAGGATCCAGAAAAATTTATATAAAAAATCCACGCCTTATATAAGACCTAGAAAAATTTATATAAAAAATCCACGCCTTATATAGGACCCAGAAAAATTTATATAAAAAATCCACGCCTTATATAGGACCCAGAAAAATTTATATAAAAAATTCATGCCTTATATAGGACCCAGAAAAATTTATATAAAAAATCCACGCCTTATATAGGACCCAGAAAAAATCATTTAAAAAATCCACGCCTTATATAGGACCCAGAAAAAATCATTTAAAAAATCCACGCCTTTGATAGGACTTAGAAAAAAATCATTTAAAAAATCCTTGATTATATAGGGTCCAGAAAAAATCATTTAAAAATCCACGCCTTATATAGGACCCAGAAAAATATACTTTGAAAAATCCACGCCTAATATAGGACCCCAAAAAATATACATTGAAAAATCCACGCCTTAGATAGGTCTCAAAAAAAATAATTTGAAAAACCACGCCATAAATAGGACCCTGATTTTTTTTTTTAAATCCCTTAGACCCTTACCTGAAACACACATTCCCTCACACTAGGAGGAAAAATCCTGGTGTTTTTATGGTGTCTGTGTAGATGTGTCTTAACGGTTATATACGCCTTTGTATTAGTGGGAATTTCAGTATGCACATAACCCCAGACATGAGGCTCCACAATCATTACCTGTAAAGAGGTAGGAACTCGAAAAAAAAATTTTAAAAAAACCTATCTAATTTTTTACCAATATCCCCTTCTTTAGCTGCGAACTGGTGGGCGACTGCCAACCTTCATGTATGTGCACCACAACTCGTAGTCCTGTTTTGGGTCCAGTGCCTCTTGAGCGCCTTGGGTAATAGGGGTCCTCTCGATCTCTTCGAGCACCCTCCTCCGATTCTACCGAATTAAAGGCCATACACATACCCTTCTGGGATCGCCTCGGAGTAAACATTTCGCAACAATCATAGCTGACATTCTGCCATGCACAGTTGGAAAACATTTCATCACATTTCCATGCCATAAATTCCACCACCTGGGTAAAATTTATATAATTCAGATCGTAGAGGAGTTTTTGCGGAAAGAACTCATAGAGATTTCGAAACATATCGAATCGAGTAAATCGAAGTGTGTCATAGGCATTTAGGGTCTCTTGGAAAACCTCTTCATATTCGGGCGTCTGATGTTTGGGATGCATAAATTTCACCTTGGCCTCTTCGTACCTCTGCCAATTCAGGCGATTCAAATTGCAAATTGTCACCTCGGGAAAGGAAATTTTATAGACCGGATAATGCAGCTCCGCAATGAAAGTCTCAAATGGCTTATGACGGCAAATATATAAAATGTTCCACATAATTATGCCAAAGAAGGCCAGCGACACTATTAGACCGATAATCTGGAGGATTCTGGAAGGAAACCCCAATATACCTTTCGAAAAAAATTTTGAAAAAAAAATCACCAAAAATTCCCTTACCTCTCAAGAATTTTCGCTGTTGTGGAAAAAATAATTTTCACACCATGTACGGTAGTGATACGCAGGACATCCGTCCAGATGCCATTCAGAAATTTGGCCAGGCCAAATTTTTCATTTTTCTCCTGCTTCCGTAGATTTGGATATTTTTCTCGACGATACATGGTTGAGGATTTACTGTTTACTTTCATCCGTGTTGTTTACCAAGAGACTGTTCAGATTGGCAGGTCAGATATTCGTGACAAGTGCACTTTTGCAATTTTTTTTGATTGGCATCTGACAACTTTGTTGGTGTTAACAGTCAAATAATTAACAGCAGCCCAGTAATTATTTTTTGTCAGGTTCCAAACAACAACATTAATTTTTGGAGTAATAAAAATTAATTTTAAAAAATCCACGCCTTGTATTGGACCCTTAAAATTAATTAAAATTAATTTTTAAGGGTCCAATACAAGGCGTGGATTTTTTAAAATTAATTTTTAAGGGTCCAATACAAGGCGGGGTTTTTTAAAATTAATTTTTAAGGGTCCAATACAAGGCGTGGATTTTTTAAAATTAATTTTTAAGGGTCCAATACAAGGCGTGGATTTTTTAAAATTAATTTTTAAGGGTCCAATACAAGGCGTGGATTTTTTAAAATTAATTTTTAAGGGTCCAATACAAGGCGTGGATTTTTTAAAATTAATTTTTAAGGTCCAATACAAGGCGTGGATTTTTTAAAATTAATTTTCAAGGGTCCAATACAAGGCGTGGATTTTTTAAAATTAATTTTTAAGGGTCCAATACAAGGCGTGGATTTTTTTAAAATTAATTTTTAAGGGTCCAATACAAGGCGTGGATTTTTTAAAATTAATTTTTAAGGGTCCAATACAAGGCGTGGATTTTTTAAAATTAATTTTTAAGGGTCCAATACAAGGCGTGGATTTTTTAAAATTAATTTTTAAGGGTCCAATACAAGGCGTGGATTTTTTAAAATTAATTTTTAAGGGTCCAATACAAGGCGTGGATTTTTTAAAATTAATTTTTAAGGGTCCAATACAAGGCGTGGATTTTTTATAAATTAATTTTTAAGGGTCCAATACAAGGCGTGGATTTTTTATAAATTAATTTTTAAGGGTCCAATACAAGGCGTGGATTTTTTTTAAAGAATATTTGTTGGCCATCAATACAAGGCGTAGATTTTTTTAAACAATATTTTCTGGCCATCAATACAAGGCGTGGATTTTTTAAAATTAATTTTTAAGGGTCTAACACAAGGCGTGGATTTTTTAAAATTAATTTTTAAGGGTCTAACACAAGGCGTGGATTTTTTAAAATTAATTTTTAAGGGTCTAACACAAGGCCTGGATTTTTTAAAAGTAATTTTTAAGGGTCTAACCCAAGGCGTGGATTTTTTAAAATTAATTTTTAAGGGTCTAACACAAGGCGTGGATTTTTCATAAATTAATTTTTAAGGGTCCAAACAAGGCGTGGATTTTTTATAAGGACCTTAAACAAGGCGTGGATTTTTTATAAGGACCTTAAACAAGGCGTGGATTTTTTATAAGGACCTTAAACAAGGCGTGGATTTTTTATAAGGACCTTAAACAAGGCGTGGATTTTTTATAAATTAATTTTTAAGGGTCCAATACAAGGCGTGGATTTTTTTAAATTAATTTTTAAGGGTCCAATACAAGGCGTGGATTTTTTTAAATTAATTTTTAAGGGTCCAATACAAGGCGTGGATTTTTTTAAATTAATTTTTAAGGGTCCAATACAAGGCGTGGATTTTTTTAAATTTATTTTTAAGGGTATATGTTTCTATCGAGACATTTTACAATCACTTTCATACGTCATAATATTTTCAAGCATTGCATTTGTCGAAATGCCTACTGCTAATTGACAGTCATACCAATATGTCTACACACTTGCACGCTGAACAAATCACTGTAACAACAACAACAAAACAACCGTGGGAAATTAGTTTAACATGCAATGCAATTAACACCAGTAAACATGTCCTTGCCACGACGGAACCAAGTGTAAATAACATTTAATATAATGTCAAGGCATTTTGTTCAATGAGGGACAAATACCCAAAGGGATTGACACACTTCTTTGTAGGATATGGATATGAAAAAAAATAATATAAAAGGTGGAGGGGGGAGTAGGCTGGATATTTGGATTTTTTAAATAATTTTTTTCTGAGACCTATATAAGGCGTGGATTTTTTAAATAATTTTTTCAAAGACCTAGGCGGATTTTTGAAACAATTTTTTCAGAGGTCTTCTTTGAGGCGTGGATTTTTTAAACAATTTTTTCAGAGGTCTTCTATGAGGCGTGGATTTTTTAAATAAATTTTTCAGAGGTCTTCTATGAGGCGTGAATTATTTGAACAAATTTTTCAGAGGTCTTCTATGAGGCGTGAATTATTTGAACAAATTTTTCAGAGGTCTTCTATGAGGCGTGGATTTTTTAAACAATTTTTTCAGAGGTCTTCTATGTGGCGTGGATTTTTTAAACAAATTTTTCAGAGGTCTTCTATGTGGCGTGGATTTTTTAAACAAATTTTTAAGAGGCCTTCTATGAGGCGTGGATTTTTTAAACAATTTTTTCAGAGGTCTTCTATGAGGCGTGAATTTTTTGAACAAATTTTCAGAGGTCTTCTATGAGTCGTGAATTTTTTGAACAAATTTTTCAGAGGTCTTCTATGAGGCGTGGATTTTTTAAACAATTTTTTCAGAGGTCTTCTATGAGGCGTGGATTTTTTAAACAAATTTTTCAGAGGCCTTCTATGAGGCGTGGATTTTTTTAAATAATTTTTTCAGAGGTCTTCTATGAGGCGTGGATTTTTTGAACAAATTTTTCAGAGGTCTTCTATGAGGCGTGGATTTTTTAAATAATTTTTTTCAGAGGTCTTCTATGAGGCGTGGATTTTATAAACAAATTTTTCAGAGGTCTTCTATGAGGCGTGGATTTTTTAAACAATTTTTTCAGAGGTCTTCTATGAGGCGTGGATTTTTTAAACAATTTTTTCAGAGGTCTTCTATGTGGCGTGGATTTTTTAAATAATTTTTTCAGAGGTCTTCTATGAGGCGTGGATTTTTAAATAATTTTTTCAGAGGTCTTCTATGAGGCGTGGATTTTTTAAATAATTTTTTCAGAGGTCTTCTATGAGGCGTGGATTTTTTGAACAAATTTTTCAGAGGTCTTCTATGAGGCGTGGATTTTTTAAACAATTTTTTCAGAGGTCTTCTATGAGGCGTGGATTTTATAAACAATTTTTTTCAGAGGTCTTCTATGAGGCGTGGATTTTTTAAACAATTTTTTCAGAGGTCTTCTATGTGGCGTGGATTTTTTAAATAATTTTTTCAGAGGTCTTCTATGAGGCGTGGATTTTTTAAATAATTTTTTCAGAGGTCTTCTATGAGGCGTGGATTTTTTAAATAATTTTTTCAGAGGTCTTCTATGAGGCGTGAATTTTTTGAACAAATTTTTCAGAGGTCTTCTATGTGGCGTGGATTTTTTAAACAAATTTTTCAGAGGCCTTCTATGAGGCGTCGATTTTTTAAATAATTTTTCAGAGGTCTTCTATGATGCGTGAATTTTTTGAACAAATTTTTCAGAGGTCTTCTATGAGGCGTGGATTTTTTAAACAATTTTTTCAGAGGTCTTCTATGAGGCGTGGATTTTTTAAACAAATTTTTCAGAGGCCTTCTATGAGGCGTGGATTTTTTTAAACAATTTTTTCAGAGGTCTTCTATGAGGCGTGGATTTTTTTAAATAATTTTTCAGAGGTCTTCTATGAGGCGTGGATTTTTTAAATAATTTTTTCAGAGGTCTTCTATGAGGCGTGGATTTTTTTAAATAATATTTTTGTAGAGGCTTCTATGAGGCGTGGATTTTTTTAAATAATTTTTTCAGAGGTCTTCTATGAGGCGTGGATTTTTTTAAATAATTTTTTCAGAGGTCTTCTATGAGGCGTGGATTTTTTGAAAAAAAAATTTCAGAGGTCTTCTATGAGGCGGGGATTTAAAAAAAAATCAGAGGTCTTCTATGAGGCTCAAATATTTGTGTTCCCCAGTGTCCCCCACCTCTACCCAAACATCAAAGTGTCTGTTAATTTATTTGCATAGAGAGAGAGAACAACAATCTACAATAGAAATGTCAATGGTCATCAAACCATTCATTGTTGTCTATGTTGCGACCATAAACTTCAATTCTTCACACTTGAATGTTAATTGACTGGCCCTGTGACTGATTAGTCGTAATTTGGCCATTGGCCAACAAGGACACGAATATCCAGCCTTTGGTGGCTATCAAACGGAAGTGGTTTTATAGAAAACGTTTAACAAGTTTTTGTTTCTGATGGGCATTATGGCCTTTCCGGATTTCAAGCCAGCCCAACCCGAAGCCATACGCCGTTTAAATCAAAAATATTCTCGTCGCGACTCACAAAATCGTACCTATGCCAGTCGTAAGGAATATCTGTTGAAATTAAAGGATGACCTCTTGGAGCTGTTGGCAGCGTTTAGTGAAAAAACCACTGTGCATGGCATGGGTAGGCTATTCAATCGAAATGCTAATAAATATGAAAGGTGAGTTCGAACAGCAAAGGAGTGTCTACCTCAAGGCGTGGATTTAAAAAAAAAAAATATTTTTGAGGGCCTAACACAAGGCGTGGATTTTTTAAAAATTAGTTTTGAGGTCCTAACACAAGTCGTGGATTTTTTTAAAAATTATTTTTGAGTGCCTAAGACAAGGCGTGAATTTTTTAAAAATTAGTTTTGAGGGCCTAAGACAAGGCGTGGATTTTTTAAAAATTATTTTTGAGGGCCTAAGACAAGGCGTGGATTTTTTAAAAATTATTTTTGAGGGCCTAACACAAGGCGTGGATTTTTTAAAAGTTATTTTTGAGGCTCCATCACAGACGTGGATTTTTTAAAAATTATTTTTGAGTGCCTAACACAAGGCGTGGATTTTTTAAAAATTAGTTTTGAGAGCCTAACACAATGCGTAGATTAAAAAAAAAATATTTTTGAGGCTCCATCACAGGTGTGAATTTTTTAAAAGTTATTTTTGAGGCTCCATCGCAGGCGTGGATTTTTTAAATGTTATTTTTGAGGCTCCATCACAGGCGTGGATTTTTTAAAAGTTATTTTTGAGGCTCCGTCACAGGCGTGGATTTTTTAAAAGTTATTTTTGAGGCTCCATCACAGGCGTGGATTTTTTAAAAGTTATTTTTGAGGCTCCATCACAGGCGTGGATTTTTCAAAACTTATTTTTGAGGCTCCATCACAGGCGTGGATTTTTTAAAACTCATTTTTGAGGCTCCATCACAGGCGTGGATTTGTTAAAAGTTATTTTTGAGGCTCCATCACAGGCGTGGATTTGTTAAAAGTTATTTTTGAGGCTCCATCACAGGCGTGGATTTTTTAAAAGTTATTTTTGAGGCTCCATCACAGGCGTGGATTTTTTAAAAGTTATTTTTGAGGTTCCATCACAGGCGTGGATTTTTTAAAAGTTATTTTTGAGGCTCCAGCACAGGCGTGGATTTTTATACCCTAACAACTATGTTGTCAGGGTATTATAGCTTTGTGCAGCCCCAAATGTTTGTAACGCCGCGAAATATTGGTCCTAGACCCACCTTTAAGTATACCGATCGTCATATCTCGACTAGCTGAGTCGATCTAGACATGTGTGTCCGTCCGTCCGTCCGTCTGTCCATTATAATTTGTAAACACGATACAGGCCACAGTTATGGACCAATCTTCACGAAATTTTGCATGTAGGATGGGTTCTGGCCAATGAAGACCCCTATTGTTTTTGGGAAAGATCTGTTAATATTTAGGGGATGAAATGGACCAAATACTAAATTTTTGTCGGTTTTTCTGGTGGCTCCAGAGGCCGCAATATTGGCTCGAACATCTTGAAATTTTGCATGGAGTAGTGGATCGGGCCAAAGAATAAGCATGCCTGTTTTCATAAAGATCGGTCAATATTTAGCGGGTCAAATGGACCCTGACTTTTGTGTGAAAAATTACAAAATTTTTATTCTATAGCGTATATATTTGTCCCTGATGGACATAGACCCGTGAAGTTGATTTTATAACCAAGAGGAGTGGTTGACCTTTAAATTAATACCAATTATATTGTTGTATGTGCTCGGATGTGGGAGTTACGCCCAAATATTTACAGGTATCTCCGTATACGTATATTATTTAGTTACCCATTACCATACTGGAGGGCGGAAATATAGCGCTGATCGCTTTGAAATGTTCCATGAGGTTCCAGTTATGGTCAAGGACAACGCCTATAATTTTCGGTGATGATCAGATAATAATTTTGGAATGAAGTGGACCGAAAACTTAATTTTTTGTGTTATTTTCGAGTCGATCTATAGACCTCAAATGAAAGCCGAAGGAATCTGGACAATAGCTGTACTTAATACTCGAAGTATTCGGAAAATATGTCACTGTGAGGTGCTGTTTACCTCTAATCGGGCACGAGGGGGAAAATATCACGAAATATTGCCCAGGCTCGGAATAAACATCCGCAAAAAATTTGAGTTCCGTGGTAGTTGTATAGGGTATCGTATGGTCGGCCCCGTCCGACTATACTGCTCCGCTCACTGGTTTAAAAGTTATTTTTAAAATATTTTTTGTATAACCTCCTCAAACATATGACACATTTTTTCATATTATAAATTTTTATTTGTGAAAAATATACGATTTAATCACGCAACGTTGCACGTGGCTTTGCAAAATTGTCGCGTGTAAATTTATGCCGGACACTCATTGCAAATATCAACACTAATTAAGGAAGTATCCACAAAAGCCAATTTATATTTAGAAACTACATTAAGATGGGTCCCTTAAAAATTTGTTTTAAAAATCCCCACCCATTCTCGATTTTAATTTTTCAAGAATTTCAATGGGCTGGTAAATTAATACCAATGCTTGTTAAGGTTGTAACTTTGCACATATATATTTGAAGATTTAAAAGAGAAGAAAAATATATATTTTTGTTATTGTTTTGTTGTTGTTTTTTGTAATTAAAGAAAAGTCCTTATTTTTGATGGCGGGCATGATAACTCCTCCATATTTCCAACGGTGTTAAAAGAGTACATGTCTGGCTCTCGTTGAACTAGGATTATTGACTTCGCTCTAAAATTAACAAAATGGTGGACCTTTGAAAAAATATTTTGGGAAAATCGCCGATTTTTTACCAAAAACCAAGTTAAAAAATAAGGAAGATCTTCACCGATTGGCTTTATCCTAGTTCATACGAGAGCTTTACACTCCCAGAGAAACGTTGCAAAATTTGGAACCGATTGGACTATTAGTTTTTGAGTTATCGTGCCCGCCATTCGCAAAAAAATGTTTAGAGAAAAACGCGTTTAAAGTTTGAGAAGCCCTTCAGCCGTCACTTGATGCTGACACAATAAATCGGCTATATCTTCAAGAGTTATTGATATTTTTACTTGAAATTTTGTAGAGACATTCTTTAATCAGGGTAGATTCGAATTATATCAACAAAAATTTTGACCCCGAGAATGGGGGGGGTCCCCTTAAAAATCCACGCCTTACATTACTTTCTTACTTTGCTGGCTTGTTACAAAATGGTTGTTCCATAAGCCTAGCTTAAAGAATATATATCCAAGGTCGTCGGCCTTTTGCGCATCTCCTCCTATTTGAAACACCACGTTCCAAGATGTTGTCTTCTACTTAGTATTTCCATCAAATTCGTGGCCTTCCCATTCTACGGGAATCATCAGCAGGCTCGTTTTTATATGCCTTTTGAGCTGGGGCATTCTCATTCATTTGCTCAACATGGCCTAGCCATCGTAGTCGCTGAAGCTCAATACGACTGACTATGTCGATGTTCGCGTATAAATTGTAAAGCTCGCCGATATTCACCGTCGCTGGTCAGATCGGCCCGTAGATCTTTCGGAGAATTTTTCTTTCGCACACCCTAAGATCTGTCTCATCTGCTTGCCCAAGTATCTATGCTTCAGATCCGTATAACAGCACGGGTAGTATCAGCGTCTTGTAAAGTGTGAGTTTGGTCTGACGGGAGGTGACCTAGTTTCTAAACTGCTTACTTAGACCATAGTAGCTTCTATTGGCCATCACAATCCTTCTCCGAATTTCAAAACTGCTGTCATTCGTTTCAATTTTTGCGGTACCAAGGTATATAAAATATTTGACTACCTCGAAGCTGTAGTTATTAAGTTCCACAGTTGTTCCAAGTCTACTGGACGTCTTGCGCGTTGATACCATCAGCTTGGTCTTCTCGCCGTTTACTGCCAGACCCACTTTGGCAGACCCCTTCTCAATTTGTTCAAAGGTGACTGTTATCGCTCGCAATGTTCGGCCCATTATATCGATGTCATCGGCATAGGCGAGTAACAGGTGTTGTTTGGTGTACAGAGTGTAATTTCTGTTCACCTCTGCGTCGCGTATGACCTTTTCCAGCAGGATGTTAAAAAGGTCACACGACAAACTGTCACATTGTCTGAATCCTTGTTCGATATTAAAGGGCTCCGAGAGGTCCTTTCCGACTTTAACTGCTGACCTTTTGCCACATAAAGTTATGCTGCATTGCCGTATTAATTTTGCAGGAATGCCGAACGCAGACATGGCTTTAAACACCTCTGAACGGATAGGGCTGTCGAAAGCGGTTTTATAGTCGACGAATAGGTGGTATGTGTCGATGTGTTTTAGTGATTTTTTTTTCCTAGATTTGGCTCGGAGTGAAAATCTGGTGGATTTTCCAGGTCTGAAGCCACATTGGTGTGGTCCAATAATGTCGTTGACCATTGGTTTCAATCGTTCACACAGCACATTGGGTAGCACTTTATATGTGATGGGAAGGAGATTTATTCCTCTATAGTTGGCACATATCGTCTTGTCTCCTTTTCTTGTGCACGGGACACAGGATTCTGAGGTTCCAATCATTGGGCATGCATTCCTCTAGCCAAATTGTACTAATCAGCTGCTCCTTACCAGCTTCTGACCAACAGTCTTAAATAGTTCGGCTGGTAAACCAGCGGCTACTGCTGCTTTATTGTTCTTGTGCCGATTAATTGCTTTTATGACCTCATCTTGGCTAGGTGGTATGTATAGAGTGTATATACCATCATCTCTTATTGGTTCTGGGGTATCCTCTTCGCCGCTACTATTTGATACCAGAAGCTCCTTCCATATCCTCAACACGCTGTCTGTATCTGTCACCAGGTGTCCTTCTTCATCTCGGTTTGGTGTTTTACTCGATGGTAAAATTTCCGGATATCATTCTGACTCCTGTACATCTCGATTTGCTCACGCTCACGTTTTTCCTGTTCTTTCTTCTTTTTTCTGAAAATACGTTTCTCCTCCGTCCTTTCCTCCCGATAGTTCTCCATCGCATTACTGTTCGAAGGGTTGCCCTATATGCTGCGTTTTTCATATCAGTAGCATTACGACACTCATTATCGTACCACGCATTTCTTGATCGTGGTCTTTGGTACCCAAGTGCTGCTTTTGCTGCAGTTTTTAGGGAGTGGGCAATTCTTTGCCATTGAGCTTCTATATTATTATCGGGACAAGAAGTGTTTTCGTCAAGCAGGTGGGTAAGTTGAGCGGAGTAGGCTTCGGCTACATGTTGTGTTTGCAACTTTTCGACGTCGAGTTTCTGTGTTGTATTAGATCGCACATTTGCTGCAATTTTAAGATGAGCGTGAACCGTGGCTATATGGTAGTGGTCCGAATCGATATTCGCTCCTCCGTGATGCTTGAATCCGACATGCTTGAATCTGGTGCTGCTAACTACCATGTTTTTTGCTGCTGCGAAGTTAATCAACCTCATGCCGTTGTCGGATGTTTCTTCGTGGAGGCTGAATTTTCCGACGGCGGGGCCAAAGATATTTTCCCTTCCGATTTTTGCATTAAAATATCCTAGCAGAATTTTGATGTCATGCTGTTTCTAGGCGCTCGTAAAATATGTCTTTGGTCTGCTCAACTTTGTCTTCGGTCGGAGCATGGGTGCAAATAAGACTGATGTAGAAGAACTTCGCTTTTAAGCGGTTTATAGCAATTCGCTTATCCACTGGAGTGAATCTGTAGACGAGGTCTTTTATTCTCCATTTTTACGCCATACAATAAAAAATTGGTCACTTTAGGTTTTGGTTGATTTGACACTCGGAAAATTGACCGATCATCATCTAAACAACCGCTCTAAGTATTTGGTAAGATCCCCTTCACCTTGTAAAATATGTGATGTTCTGTATATAATAATTGCCTCTAGAGCGACTAGAAAATTAAAAATTTTAAAGTTTTCGGTTCATTGTACGCCCTGAATGAAATCTCAACTTCACCGAAATTTATAAGCGTCGTCCTTGACCACAATTTGAAGGACAACAACTCATCTTGGACATACTATCAACATCTCGAGTATATGTCCTTCAGGAGCAAGTATATACGCCCCAGAATATAAAAATTTTAATTTTTCACACAAAAGTCAGGGTCCATTTGACCCGCTAAAAATTTCACGATGTTCGGACCATAACTGCGGCCTCTGGAGCGACCAGAAAAACCGATAAAAATTTAGTATTTGGTCCATTTCATCCCCTAAATATTAACCGATCTTTATCAAAAACAACAGGGGTCTTCATTGGCCAGAACCCATCCTACATGCAAAATTTCGTGAAGATTGGTCCATAACTGTGGCCTGTATCGTGTTTACAAATTATAATGGACAGACGGACGGACGGACGGCCACACATGTCTAGATCGACTCAGCTAGTCGAGATATGACGATCGGTATGCTTAAAGGTGGGTCTAGGACCAATATTTCGCGGCGTTACAAACTTTTGGGTCTGCACAAAGCTATAATACCCTGACAACATAGTTGTGTAGGGTATAAATATATAACGAGTGGTTTTGTCTAAGGCTGAAGTAAGCTCAGTCGCAGCCAGGGTCAACTCAAGGAACCACAAACCTTAAGTTAAAAAATCCACGAGTGGTAAAATTCAAATTCTTTATTGCAATACTTCTGTGTTTAGATAGAGAGTAACATGCAGGATCATCAATACGATGGAGTTATTAATTCGTTGGTTGTCCTAGTTCGGATTATAGTAGTCGGCTCGGGTTGAAGTAGTCGACTCGGGTTGTAGTAGTCGGCTCGGGTTGACGTAGTCGGCTCGGATTGTGTAGTCGACTCGGCTTGTAGTAGTCGACTCGGGTTGTAGTAATCGGCTCGGGTTGTAGTAGTCGACTCGGGTTGCAGTATTCGGCTCGTGTTGCCGTAGCCGTCTCGGATTGTGTAGTCGACTTGGCTTGTAGTAGTCGGCTCGGGTTGTAGTAATCGGTGGGGCCCTTCGTTCAAACTCCTTCTGAAACGAGAAGAGTTATATCGAAGCGAACGAATCGCAGGAAGCGAACGAATCTCATTAAGCGAACGAATCTCATTAAGCGAACGAGTCGCGGAAGCAGGTCGAAGGCTTCGGCTATGTTCGGTACAAGGTGCTGCCACAAGTCGCTTTCTCTCGTACTTGGTCTAACTCCAGCTCTCGACCATTTCTGCCAATGAAAACTGGAACACTTATCTGTACGACAACACAAAGTTAATGAGAATTACTTTCCTATATCTCGAAAATAGTTTCATGATTGTTCATTGAAGTCTATTATCTAGTTATTATATTGCATAGTGAGTTGCTTAAATGTAGGTATCCTATTATTTTATTAACGAGGGGTATATAATAAGGTGGTGTGAAATGTAGCGGTCAGGTTACAAATAGCTACCCCAGGTGACACCGCGGGGAGGTCAGTGTCTATAATTGAGATAAAAGAGGGACCAATATAAGCCTGGACTTCATCATATCAAAGCCAATCAGAGCCGTTGCTTGGTATCTTTCATCGCCTACGCCACCTCCATACCTTTTATAGGTCCTTTAAAAAAATATTAAAAAAAAAATCAATGCCATCCTTTCAAAAAGTTATTTTAAAGGGCAATGCCTTATATAGGTCCCTTAAAAAATTATTTAAAAAATCCACGCCTAAAAAAATGGTTGCCTAAAAAAATATTTTCAAAATCCACAGATTATTCTGGCTAATAACCCTTAGCTTGGCCATATTTGGTACAACCTATGTTTGCATTTTTCTTTCGGATCGTTTCAATGCCGGCAATCTCCAATCGATTGTCGATGATACCGGTGCCCCAGTCTACAAGATACCATTTCCCACCATCACCATCTGTAATGTGAATCGTTTGAATTGGCAGCGGATCGATGAGGCCAAGGAACGTTTCTTACCGGGTGTAACGGACAATGAAACCCTGAATGTCTTCGAATTGGTTATCGGCCGCTATGATCGCTTGGAATTCGGCCATTTCGATTTATTTGACCCATTGGAAAATCAGCCACTGAATTTAGTGGCGAATGTGAATTTTTCCCTGGTCTATGAATTTATGACATGGAACTGTGATGAGTTGTTGACAGATTGTGTTTGGCGTCATCGTGCAATGAATTGTTGTGAAATATTCCTGCAGAGACGTAGTAAAAATGGTATCTGCTGGAGTTTTAATACCGTCGAGACGGAAGAGGGTCGACAAAGGAAGAAAGACGATCCAAAATATCCATGGCGTACCGGTAGTGCTGGACCGCAGAGTGCTTTGACAGTGAAGGTGCTTATTAATCGGGAGGGCCATTATAGCTCAGACGTGGAGAAGGGGATAATGGTGAGTATGAATGGGAGTAAGGAGATTTTTTGTGTTAATTTCTGTTTTCTTCGTAGGTCATGGTCTCTGAGCCCAATGTCTGGCATAGTGAGCCCTTTTTCATACCCGAGAATACGGATACCACAATTGGCATAGATCCCACAATTTATTTCTTTGATGAAAATACCCGGAGCTTGACATCAGCCCAAAGGCAGTGTGTGTTCAATGTAAGTCCCTAAGAAATTATTTAAAAATCTACACCTTATATAGGAGCCTGACAAAAATTATTTGACAAATCCATGCCTTCTATAAGATCCTGGAAAAATCCACTCCAAATTTTTGAAATATATTTTCCTTACAGGACGAACACCAATACCATAACTTCAAGGTATTGCAAGGCTTTGACTACATGATCGAAAATTGTCAGGCGGAATGTCATCAGGACTATTTGGAGAAATATTGCAACTGCAGCATGGATATACTGTTTCCACCAGGTATGATAATCGGTCTTCAAAAACAATTCCACTAAAAATAATCTCCTCTCCACTCTCTGCCACAGGACAACACAAACCCTGCCGTGTTACCGATCTAGTGTGCCTGGCACGTAACAATGGTATGTCGAATTATTATTTTTCCCATAGAAATTAACCCATCCCCACCATTAATTGTTTCCATTCCGCACATTCACCACCTGCATTTGATTTCAGATTATTTCCGTTATACTCATCAAGAGGGCGCTGATGAATATGTCCGTCACACCCACACCGGCATGAAGTGTAAATGCTTCAATAATTGCTATTCACTGCAGTACATGACCTATGTCCGACCGACATTTTTACCACCGGATGTACGTGGCAATAAATCATATGTGGATTTGGATATACATTTCCGTTCGGAAACGATGATGGTCTATTGTACAAATTTGGTATTTAGTTGGATTGATTTAATGGGTAAGTTGAAGGAGGGTGTTGAGGGGGAGGGAAAACTAACAAGTCAGGCTTTTTTATAGCGGATAATTTAAAAAATGCAGGGTTTTCAGTACGGTGGATTTTTAAAGATAATTTTTTCGGGCCCATAGTTCCTTCTGAGAATATGCATAGAATCACCAATCTGAGTCGATTTATGCATGTCCGTCCGTCTGTTGGTGTTAAATTGTAAACACCGTACAGGTTGCATTTATAATCCGATTTGGATGAAATTTGGCACAGCTCATTTATTTGACCCCAGGACGAAGCCTATTCATATTAGGAAAAATCGGTACAGATTTAGATATAGATCCCATATATATTTTCGTCCGATTTCATGTAAATTGTGCACCAAAGCCCTATAAATATCTTTCGATTTGCACGACATTTGGCACAGCGTACTGAATTGGGCCTAGAATGACGTGTGCTAAGTTTCATGAAAATCGGTTCAGATTTATATATAGCTCCCATATATATTTTCGCCCGATTTAAGGTAAATGATGCACCAAAGTCCCTTAGTATCTTTCGATCTTCACGAAATTTTGCACATCGTACTGAATTCGGCCTAGAATGATGTGTGCTAAGTTTCATGAAAATCGGTTCAGATTTGTATATAGCTCCCATATATATTTTGGTCCGATTTGATGTAAATGGTGCACCAAAGTCCCTAAATATCTTTCGATTTGCACGAAATTTGGCATGAAGTACTGAATTGAGCCTAGGGTGATGTCTGCCAAGTTTCATGAAAATCGGTTCAGATATATATATAGCTCCCGTATATATTTTCGTCCAATTTAAGGTAAATGGTGCACCAAAGTACCTATATATCTGATTTGCACGAAATTTGGCATGAAGTACTGAATTGAGCCTAGAGTGATGTCTGCCAAGTTTCATGAAAATCGGTTCAGATTTAGATATAGCTCCCATATATATTTGATGTAAATGGTGCACCAAAGTCCCTAAATATCTTTCGATTTGCACGAAATTTGGCATGAAGTACTGAATTGAGCCTAGAGTGATGTCTGCCAAGTTTCATGAAAATCGGTTCAGATATATATAGCTCCCGTATATATTTTCGTCCGATTTAAAGTATCTATATATCTTTCGATTTGCACGAAATTTGGCATAGCGTACTGAATTGAGCCTTGAGTGATGTCTGCCAAGTTTCGTGCAAATCGGTCCAGATTTAGATATAGCTCCCATATATAGTTTCGTCCGATTTAAGGTAAATGGTGCACCAAAGTCCCTAAATATCTTTCGATTTGCACGAAATTTGGCATGACGTACTGAATTGAGTCTTGAGTGATGTCTGCCAAGTTTCGTGCAAATCGGTTCAGATTTAGATATAGCTCCCATATATATTTTCGTCCGATTTCATGTAAATGGTGCACCAAAGTCCCATAATATCTTTCGATTTGCACGAAATTTGGCACAGCGTATTGAACTAGGTCTACAATAATATGTGTTAAGTTTTCTGAAAATCGTTTCAGTTTTAGATATAGCTCCCATAAAAATTTTCGTCCGATTTAAGGTAAATGGTGTACCACAGTCCCTAAATATCTTTCGATTTGCACGAAATTTGGCATGAAGTACTGTATTGAGCCTAGAGTGATGTCTGCCAAGTTTCATGAAAATCGGTTCAGATTTATATATAGCTCCCATATATATTTTGGTCCGATTTGATGTAAATGGTGCACCAAAGTCCCTATATATCTTTCGATTTGCACGAAATTTTTTTCGGCACAGCGTAATGAATTTTTTAGCCAATTTTTTCAGGACCTTGATGTGTGTTAAGTTTCGGGAAAATCGTGATTTTTTAAGATATAGCTCCCATATATAATTTGATTGTAAATGGTGCACCAATTTTTTCAGTCCTTGACAAGGCGTAATTTTTTATATTTTTCGACCTTGCAAGGCGTAGAAATTTGGCATGAAGTACTGTATTGAGCCTAGAGTGATGTTGCTAATTTCATGAAAATCGATTTTTTAGATTTTTATATAGGCTCCCGTATATATTTTCGGGACCTCCTATTTAAAGTATCTATTTATTTTCAGATTTGCACGAAATTTGGCATGACGTACTGAATTGAGTCTTGAGTGATGTTGCCAAGTTTCGTGCAAATCGTAGATTTTTTAATTTTTTATAGCCCCACATATATTTTGGTCCTTTAATGTAAATGGTACACCAAAGTCCCTATGTTTTTTATCTTTTTTCAGGGATTTGCCCGAAATTTTTTTCAGGCATAGCGTACTTTTTTGAGCCTAGAGTGATTTTTTAAATAATTTTTTCAAGTTTCGGGAAAATCGGTTCAGATTTTTTAATATAGCTCCATATATATTTTCGTTGACAAGGCGATTTTTTAAATAATTTTTTCATGTAAATTGACAAAGATTTTTTAAATAATTTTTTCAGGGACCTTTGGCACAGCGTAATGAACTAGGTTACAATAATATGTTTTTTTAGTTTTCTGAAAATCAAGGCGTAGATTTTTTAATATAGCTCCCATAAAAATTTTCGTCCGATTTAAGGTAAATGGTGTACCACAGTCCCTAAATATCTTTCGATTTGCACGAAATTTTGAACAGCGTAATGAATTAGGTGTAGAATGATATGTATTAAGTTTCGTGAAATCGGTTCAGATTTAGATAAAGCTTTTATATCAGACCAAATGAAAAAATTTTTTCAGGGACCTTGACAAGGCGTAGATTTTTTGGATCCAATTTCATTTTACTGGGACCTTGACAAGGCGTAGATTTTTTAAATAATTTTTTCAGGGACCTTGACAAGGCGTAGATTTTTTAAATAATTTTTTCAGGGACCTTGACAAGGCGTAGATTTTTTAAAAAAAATTTTTTTCAGGGACCTTGACAAGGCGTAGATTTTTTAAATAATTTTTTCAGGGACCTTGACAAGGCGTAGATTTTTTAAATAATTTTTTCAGGGACCTTGACAAGGCGTAGATTTTTTAAATAATTTTTTCAGGGACCTTGACAAGGCGTAGATTTTTTAAATATTTTTTTCAGGGACCTTGACAAGGCGTAGATTTTTTAAATAATTTTTTCAGGGACCTTGACATTTTTTTATAAATCCTTTTCCTTTGTTTTATTTCTTCCAGTGGCTTTTGGTGGCATTGCTGGCCTTTTTATGGGCTGCTCCCTCATCAGTGCTGTGGAGGTATTCTATTTCCTCTTCATACAGATACCAACCTTTGCCTATCGGGAATATAAAGCCAGGCAGGAATTACATCGTACAGAGGCCCAACAACAATACAATCAAAATATTTTACAAAATAGCAATAACAACAACTATCGCAGGCAATCGGATTACTATAGGACGGAGCGGAAAAGTTTGCCGAAAAATCGCATATCAATTGTGGAGAATCTAAATAAAAATAATTATATAAATTAATATTATTTGACAGGCAATAAATTGAATCAATATTAAACAAAATTTTGGATTTCAAAAATAAAAAAATTTTTCGAATAAAAAAAAATTCGAAATAAAAAAATCGAATTTTTAAAAACAATTATTTGAGTTTAGATTGGGAATTGTTGTGGATTGTTTTTTCTATGCCCCTGCCCCTCCTGCTGATTATCGCCTTAACTTACTTGCCTTAATGTGATATCTCAATATATCCTGCAGGTCTTTTTATTAACCTTAGCCATCCCTGAGGGCTTTCAATCTTTTTTTCCAGATTTTTTGTTGTCTTCTTCTTTTTGAATCAAATTTATTTACTGCTCCTTAACAGGAAAAGTGTAAAAATAAAACAAATTGCTGTCAATTTGTCACTTAGCTTCAACTAGCTGTTGCTCTGCTTCGTCTCGTCTCCCTTTTTCGCTCTTGACTTCTCAATTTTTCTATTTGCCACTTGGCCCGACCAAGTTCGGTCTTTTGCCTGTGACGGATGTCTTTATATCGGTCAAAGACTGACTGAATGACTTTTGTGATGTTCTGATGGTGGTTGGTAGTCAGTTGACATGTCCCAATGTCTCCTCCTCGATAAGCAAGGAGGTTGAGAGTTCAGTTCAATTTTCTCTGCTCATTCATTTCCATAATAAGTCCTTGTGGTAGTCCTTTCATTCATGCTGCTGCTCCTTCAGGTCTTTATTATGCTTGTTAATAAAAATGAATATTTGTTGTTGTTGCTGTTGTTGTCTGTGTCACTTGGTGTCCTTCCTGTGTGTTTGTGTGTGTCTCGGTGTGCCTACAGACATGCTCATAAAACTTAATCAAAATTAAAGTTAACTTATATTCCGACCTCTCCTCTTGAGACTTGTAATGAACCGAACAGCAGCAACAACAACAACAATGTTTACTAGCACTCGGTTCGGAGAAGATAAATTTGCTCTGTATTTCATTTCGTCTAGGGAAATGAAAAATTTAACTTTTAATGTAACAACATTTTACATAAATGGGGAAACAGATATGATCTCCAAAAAAAAACAAGATGATTTTTAAGGGTTATTATGAGGCGTGGATTTTTAAAATAATTTTTTCTAGGACCAATATAAGGCGTGGATTTTTAAAATAATTTTTTCTAGGACCAATATAAGGCGTGGATTTTTAAAATAATTTTTTCTAGGACCAATATAAGGCGTGGATTTTTAAAATAATTTTTTCTAGGACCAATATAAGGCGTGGATTTTTAAAATAATTTTTTCTAGGACCAATATAAGGCGTGGATTTTTAAAATAATTTTTTCTAGGACCAATATAAGGCGTGGATTTTTAAAATAATTTTTTCTAGGACCAATATAAGGCGTGGATTTTTAAAATAATTTTTTCTAGGACCAATATAAGGCGTGGATTTTTAAAATAATTTTTTCTAGGACCAATATAAGGGATTTTTAAAATAATTTTTTCTAGGACCAATATAAGGCGTGGATTTTTAAAATAATTTTTTCTAGATTTTTAAAATAATTTTTTCTAGGACCAATATAAGGCGTGGATTTTTAAAATAATTTTTTCTAGGACCAATATAAGGCGTGGATTTTTAAAATAATTTTTTCTAGGACCAATATAAGGCGTGGATTTTTAAAATAATTTTTTCTAGGACCAATATAAGGCGTGGATTTTTAAAATAATTTTTTCTAGGACCAATATAAGGCGTGGATTTTTAAAATAATTTTTTCTAGGACCAATATAAGGCGTGGATTTTTAAAATAATTTTTTCTAGGACCAATATAAGGCGTGGATTTTTAAAATAATTTTTTCTAGGACCAATATAAGGCGTGGATTTTTAAAATAATTTTTTCTAGGACCAATATAAGGCGTGGATTTTTAAAATAATTTTTTCTATAAGGCGTGGATTTTTAAAATAATTTTTTCTAGGACCAATATAAGGCGTGGATTTTTAAAATAATTTTTTCTAGGACCAATATAAGGCGTGGATTTTTAAAATAATTTTTTCTAGGGCCAATATAAGGCGTGGATTTTTAAAATAATTTTTTCTAGGACCAATATAAGGCGTGGATTTTTAAAATAATTTTTTCTAGGACCAATATAAGGCGTGGATTTTTAAAATAATTTTTTCTAGGACCAATATAAGGCGTGGATTTTTAAAATAATTTTTTCTAGGACCAATATAAGGCGTGGATTTTTAAAATAATTTTTTCTAGGACCAATATAAGGCGTGGATTTTTAAAATAATTTTTTCTAGGACCAATATAAGATTTTTTAAAATAATTTTTTCTAGGACCAATATAAGGCGTGGATTTTTAAAATAATTTTTTCTAGGTCCACCAAATTATTTTAAAATAATTTTTTCTAGGTCCACCAATGTCGTGGATTTTTAAAATAATTTTTTCTAGGACCAATATAAGGCGTGGA